AGACGTAGATGACTCATAGGTCAGTCTATATATAAAGCAGTCCATATATGAAGCCCCACCTCTTTTGAAAATGCCCCTTCCAGGTGAAATCTGAGGCTGAGATTGAGGTTTAGTGCAGCAAGGGAAAGGTGAGTCCAAGCTGGAAACCAAACATTTGCTGATTGACTCCGAGGAGGAAGTCCCAGCCCTTGGATTATGCTGGCTAATCTCTGACTCCTGCCCTCCTAGAAATCTAGGTGGATGGACTATGGCCATGGGTGTACGTGACTCCTGACACTGTCACCCACATCCAGTGTCAACGTCCGCAGGGTTTGGGAGGACTTGAGGCACCCACCAAGACGCCAGGGGCAATCAGGCCATGCCAGGCCCATGGCCACCTCTGTCAACAGCCTTGAAGTCAATTCATCCTTTGCCAGTTCGTTTCCCTCTTTGGTTATCCCAAGTGCACAGAGCATTTCTCCTAGCATCTCATCAGCATCCTGCTACCCTGCTGCAACACAGGATAGGGCTGAAATGGGCTGAAATCCTGGCCATTTTGAGCCCATGTTCACAATAATGCTCATGGCCCAAGTGGAAACACACCTTCTTACATAGAAAGCCAAGAAGTTACCGTTAGTGTAAGTGAAATCATTTTAACAATCTAATCTAATAACTAAAATCTAATCTAAGCATCACTACTAGACCAGATATAAAAAGAAATGCCTACGTAGAAAATGTCTCAGTTACAATAAATATAATAATAATGAAGTTGGTGTTTCAGTCTAGTGTCGCTGAGGTGGTTGTGGCGAGCTATTGGCATCCGCAACAATCTCATTTGCCGGGAAGAACAACATTCATGTTGATGGTTTCTGCTTCCCTTCTCCAGGAGCCACTTGGGGTGGTTTTGGTGTGTTTGTTAATACGTCTCTACACCTTGTTCTTTCTCCATTGGGCTCCAGGTTACATCCAAACTTACTCTATCTGGTGACTTTTACCTATGTTAGATATGTTGCCTCCACCTCAGTGGTGGCCAGTGACAGGACAATGGGCAATGGGCAAACTACAATACAGGAAGTTCCATCTCCATGTGAGGAGGAACTTCTGTCCTGTGAGGGTGACAGAGCAGTGGAACAGGCTGCCCAGGGAGGTTGTGGAGTCTCCTTCTCTGGAGGTCTTCAAAACCCGCCTGGATGCCACCCTGTGCCACATGCTCTGGGTGTCCCTGCTTGAGCAGGAAGGTTGGACTAGATGATCTCCAGAGGTCCCTTCCAACCTTAAACATTCTGTGATTCTGTGATATTATTTCTGTGTTCTCCTTGCTGCCCCAGCAAAGAGCTTCGTGCAGCTCTAGGTCTTCATCTCTTCAGCTGACCCCTCATGAGGCCTTGCAAGCTCATCACATGGCTTATGGCCTGTTGCTGGCCATAAGAGGAGTGAATTAGGGGCTACGCCCGGCACAAGGCACCATGTTCAGAGCCACCTTCACCTCATCTTCGCTTCCCTGTTCTTGGCACCCAGGAGGACCAGGCTGCAGACGGATAAATCCTGGTGCGTGATGAGGTCGTTCCCTCCAGCAGCTCCTGGAGCTCGACTCCATAAACCACAAATTGCCCTCATAAAGTCAGAAAGCAGCTCCTGGCCCTGTATGTTGGGAGCTGAAGGCACCTCTGGCCCACATCCCTATAACCTGCCCTTTGGTCCAAGTTGTTCCCTTAATGCCACTATTCAGAAAGACTGTTTTAATTGTCTTTTCTTCTCCCCAAGAAAGAGTTATTTGCACCAATTTCCTTATCTACCATCGTTGGTGGTGCACATGCCTGTTCTCCGCTCAGGTATCATCCATATGTTTTCATTCAAATTTATAAGCACACATGGAGGACACAAGCAATAAACAGAAACTGGGCACAAATTAGAGGTCTGGACACGCACGAGGGGATGCTGCAGGTGACGGCAGTTTCATTAGCCCAGCAATTACCGCGAAATAGGTCTTTTTTAATTGAGTTTCTCCCCTGAAACACATATGGCTTGGAGCTGCAGACAATTAAATGTGGCTCTGATAGTCACAGTGGAAAGTAGCCCTCACTGTAATTCATTTTAAGAATTTAACTCGATTTGGGAACCGATAATTGCATAAATGTTTTTTCCCCCTTTCATACTCTGCAGAGGCTTAATGGCCTTGGCAATTAAAGTAACTAAATTACTGGCAATGGGAAGCACATTTAAAGAGATACAGCGGTACTGACAAAGGTTATTGGAGCTACTGTCTTGGGTGCGTGCTGCAGGTTGCTGTTGGTTTTGCAGAAAAAGCTGCTTTTCCGCCAAGGAGACAAGGGGCAGGTTGCGGGAACAGCAGCTCTCCCATTACTGGGTGCTCTCTGCCTCCCTGAGCACCACTAAAAGATATGGAAGTCAAACACAGCCCTGAAAATCTGCAGAAACGAGGGAAAATGTTCCCAAAAAAAAAAAAGAAATGAGGGGGGGGGGGTTCTCTCTGCTGTTTCATGCTGACAGGTTTCCCTCTGGTTCTGGGGAAGGATTTAGGCATTTTTAGATCCCTGGGTTATTTTCTGAGCGAATACATCACCGCATTTTTATCCAAGGCCTCTGGTCCTCCTGCATGGACCCCACATCAGAGAAATTTGGAAATTTGGGGCAATTCAGCTTTGATTTCAATTGCTGTCACAATTTCGATGTCCTGGGTTCACTATGTCCTGTTGCTGCCAGGTAATAAAGAAAAAATCCCCAAATCCTGCTCTGTGGGCCTGTGTGGTCTCATGAGGCCTTCAGCTCGCTCCTAGCTTTTCTATAAAAACTTAAAAAATATATCAGAAAAAGTTCCAGAGCCATAAGGCAGTGAATAAATATGAGGAAAGCAACTTCTGCCCAGTAGTTTCCTGGTCTGGTCCTGCTTGGGGAGGGAAATGTGGAATGTGAAGACAGTGTGTGCCTTTTGCAAACCCTTATGGAAACAGATACACCTATTTGGGTTACAAATACTGCCGAGGAGGGTTTTAAGTGAATATAAACATGAATATGGCAAGTTATTCTCAGCTGTTCCTCTCCCAGTTCAGCTCAGTTCAGCTCAGCTCAGTTTCTGCTTCTCCTAAGAGGTGCAAAACGGATCGTGTGCCCTCAAAAGGGCAATAACCCCTCCAATACCCATGCAGGTTTATTTAAGCCTAAGCAGAAGCCCCTCTGCACCTTTGCAAACAGGTAAGGAGGAGGCTCGAGTTTCAACTGAAAAGAGGAAAAAAATGGCAATAATAACCCAAAAGAAACAAATATATAAGCGGCCCCCAAAGAGCAACAGTTTCCTGCTGTGCTCTGGAAGGACAGAGATATAAATGGAAATATATTTAATTTTGGAAATGAAATGATTGGATCAAGCTGCTCGTTAAGCAACCCCAGCTGCAGAAGCACTTCCAGGCATCTCCCCTGCGGTCGCTTTGGACGTGGGAGAGCCACGAAGGCAGCTCCTCGTTAGGCTGGACCTAACATCCCCGCTGGCCTCCCTAACGGGTTGTATGTGGGTCGGGAAGGCAGCAAGCGGGGCAGGGCCGGCCCTGGGGCCTTGGGGATTAGGCTCCCTCAGCGCCTTGGTGGCCGCGGTTCACACGCTCTGCACCCCCAGGGCTCACAGCGGGGTGAGACTGTAAAAATAAACAGCAAACCCTACGTGTAACTTGTATGGAGGCTCTGGGTTTTTACCCTTAAAGAGATATAAGGCTCCTGGACCAGCTCTCCTCTGCCTCAAATCTGCTTTTCCACCTCTGGCTGGGCCCATGCTGGAAGAGCAGCTATTTCCAGATACCTTCCAAGGGCTCTTTCTCCTCCTGCCTTTCACCCTGTTGGCTCCCCACGGATATCACATCCAATATGAAGGATCCAGAGTGATTTATGGGCCGAAAGCAACTGTATGAGGTTCAACAAGGCCAACTGACAGGTGCTGCTCTTCAGCCCCATGCAATGGTACCTGCTGTCCATGGAAGGGTCTGGAGCACAGAGCTTATGATGGGTGGCTGGAGGAGCCAGGGTTATTTAGTATGGAGAAGAGGGGGTTTGGGAGTCCTCATTGCTCTCTACAACCACCTGAACGGAGGTTGCAGTGAGGCAGAGGTTGGTCTGTTCTCCAGAACAACTTCTGATAGGACAAGAGGAGATGGCCTCAAGTTGCACCAGGGGAGGGTCAGATGGGAAATTAGGAAGTTTCTATAGAGAAAGAGTAGTAAAGCCTTGGAACAGGCTGCTCAGTGAAGTAGTGGAGTCACTCATCAAGAAGATGAGGCACTTAAGGACATGGATCAGCAGGCTTTGTGTGATGGTTTGATGGTTGGACTTGATGATCTTGAAGGTCTTTTCCAACCACAGTGATTCTATGACTGGTCCGGCCGGCTCCACTGGGCAAAGTGTGAGATTTGGTTGTTGGAGGGAGACTTCAGGGAAGGTTTCCACAGGGTTGCGGCCAGGAACCACGTTTGTCTCCTCTGAGGGAAACAGAGGGTCTGGGGTGGTTTGGGGGCTCCGTGGGGCGGCAGCTGCTGTGGGACCCTTCTGCAGGGCTCCCCCTGCCCTAGAGCATCATGTTCAGCCCGGGGGCACCAGCAGCACCCAGGGAGCCCCCAGCCCCATGGCAGCCCCACAGCACCCCCGCCCCACGGCTGCCCCACGGCGCCCCACGGCGCCCCCCCGCGGCGGCGCAGGGCCGGCCCCGCCCCCCATGACTCAGCACCCGCCGCAATGCGGAGCCGCCCCGCCCCGCTGTGACGTCACCGCCTTCCTCCCGCCCCCTCGGCTCCGCGCTCCGCGGGAGGCTGCAAAATGGCGCCCCGCTCCGCTTGACGTCACCGCCCTCCCTCCCCATTGGCCGGGCTGCCGCGGGGCACGCCGGGAGGTGTAGTTTCCAGGCAGGCCTCCCGGCTCCACCGCGCGGGCGGGGGCAGCGAAGGCGGAGGGGGCGGAGCGATCCCTCAGCCAATAAGAGCGAGGGGGCGGGGCGAGGCGCGCCAGAAGCCGGCCGGCATCGAAGCGCGCGGCGAGGTGAGGGGTGGGCGTGTCACGTGGGCGGGCGGGGGTCACGTGGGAGGGGACCCCCACCCCCGGTGGTCGCGGGAGGGGGATGGGGGGGGTCATTGGGGGCCCTTATGGGGCGGGGGCCCCCCCAGGACGTGGCCGTGGGTTGGGGCCTCCCGGGAGCCCCGGCAAGGTCACCGGGGCCGGAGGCAGCAGCGGTGTCCGCGGGGCCCGTTTCCACCGCGCGTCCCGGCCGTGCTTTGGGGCGCCTCCGTCAGACCCCCCGTCACCGACCGCGCTGAGGAGCGGCGCCGCCGGGATGCGGTCCGGCAGAGCGCGGACCGGAGCGGGAATCCATCCGGCGCCGCTCGCATCCGCGGAGCGGCCCTGGGGCTGGAGAGCGAAGCGGGAGCCGGTCCCGCGGGCCCCGTGCCCGTGGCTTGGGGGTCCCCGCGGCCTGGGGCGGCTCCATCCGCAGCGATGCCGGAGCGCGAAGGGCCGGCAGCGGCCGGGCGCAGCCGTGACCTGCCCTGGCGGCTCCGCGCCCGGCCGGGGCACCCGCTGAACGGGAGCAGCACCCTCGCCGGGGCCGGAGCGGCCAAGGAAGAGCCAGCGGGAAGGGCCTGGGACGGAGCTGGGAAGCGCAGCCGGGGGCTGAGGAAACCAGCGGCCTGGAGCTGCCCGGGAGCTCGTGCAGGGGCTTGTAACAGTGCAGAAAGGGGTTTATATATATATATATATATTATTTTTGTTGTCACTGACTGCAATGTGATGATCTTGCTTCTAGATTTAACTTGAATTAAACTGCACGCAGCTCCTCGGCCAAGCTCAAGCCTTGCTGGTTCTTGTGTTTGTATTCAACTTTGCAGCTCCGTTGACCATGGGATAGGGAAGAGATTGCCTCCTCTTTTTGTGAAAAAGACAAAAAAACTCTTGGTTCCTGGAAAAAAAAATTGCTCTTTCTGTTTGCAGCCGTCATCATGTCGCAGGGTCAGGAACCTGTTTTTCCTGAGTATGAGACTGAAACCAGCCAGACATCCAAGCTGTTAAGGAAATTTAAAGAGACCCCATTTGTACCCATTGGTAAGTTTAAATATGAAGAAATGTGTTTGCATAGGCTTTTTTTTTTTTCTTCTTCCTCTCATGAGCAATCGACAAGATAAACACGGTCACCTACTGTGGATGGGAAATGGCTTCTGAATGACTTCCTCGTGCAGGCTTGTTCTCTGGTCGCACCAATACAGTGCCACTCTGAAGCGGTATTTTGCTAGGAAGTGTAATTAATAAGTGTTTTGTTACTGTGAATGGCAAACACAGAACCTGGAATCCAAAAGAAAATACTAGCAAAGCTGTTAATGAGTGACAGAGCCTGTGTGTGGTAGGGAGCATGTCTTGCCTGTCCCCTTCGGAGCGGAGCTGTCTGTGATCACTCGGTGTTGTCTTTTGAGCCAAGAAAATACATATTTTTAGTGTCTAAAATACCGTTTGCCTGGAGAAGGTTTGACCTTTCTCTGCAACCATTTTGGTCTAAAATGTGTTTTCCTGTTAGGTTTTGGGGTAGCCCAGTTTGAGGAGGTGGATGAAGGTCTCGGGTTTTTTGGGGAGAACCTGGAATGTCCTATCTGGCCTCCAAGGAGAGGCTGGCTGTGTGACCTGAGAGGCTCTCTCTGATCAGGACCTTCTTCTCCAGGCCATAGGTTTTGATTTATAGCTGCCCTAAACTGAGGACAGGTCCCTCGAGTGAAGTGTTCAAAGCTTTTGCCAGCAGATGTGTCACCGGTTTCTGTGGCTGCAGGACTTTGCTCCCTCTTCTCCCTAGCTCAGACTGTGGACTTGTGTGAGTTCGGGTTCCTCCCAATAGATTAGCAAAATTTACTTTAAACCGATGTCAGAGCTAGTTCACCAGCCCCCAAAGTCTCCCTTTCAAAAAAGGGTTTTACCACTTCTCGAGTGGAGCTGGTTGTAATCCTACTTGGGGAGCCAAGTTGTCCTGCAGGCAGCAGTAAAATATGCACAACATTCAAAACTTGGCAGCCCTTCTTTGAACTACATAAATAATTGTCCTAAAAATGGCATAAAGTGGCTGGAATGGGGCAGTTTTGTGCCATGTTCTGTGTTCTGTGAGAGTGTGGCTAGAGTTTGCACAGTCTGGGACCTGTTGGATCAGTTTGGTCTGTGGAAATGAAAAGGATCCCCCATGAAAGAGATTTTGCTGATCCTCTCTCCTGGCAGCACAGGGCAGATAACACGTGACTCATCCTGTTCCAGTGAGAACAGGTCAAAAGGGGGCAAAACTAAAACCAGGGAATTCGGCAAACAAGTGGCCCCGTTGAGGTGCTGAACTCAGTGCTGGAGCTGAGTGGTTTTGGTGGATTCCCGCCAAAGCAACGGAGCAAATTGTGCTTTCTGAAAAATATCCAGCGCTGATACCCTGAGGATATTGCCCGAGTTCGTGTCTCTCCATTCTGACGTGGTTCCTTAATGCAAATTTGCCTGTTCTGACTTGTGCACTGAAGGAAATAGCTCTGGAGTGCAAAGAGGAGAAAGGCCAGGGATTTGCTGTCTGCACAGACACAGCGATGAGGCGAAAATGTGCCAGCTCCCAGGGTTTCTCGTTTAAAGATATCACTTTTTCCAAACGTGAGGGCTTTGTCCTTGGTGTCTTTGCCTTGCAGGAATGGCTGGCTTCGCCATGGTGGTGGGGTACGGGCTGTACAGGCTGAAGCACAGGGGGGACATGAAGATGTCGCTTCACCTGATCCACATGCGAGTGGCGGCCCAGGGCTTCGTGGTCGGAGCGTTAACGTGTGGTAGGTACAAAACAGGGGGCTGCTCCTTGGCACCGGCCAAGCGAGTCACGGAGACCCCCTCAAATCAGTGTGCGAGAAATACCCCTGGGGTGGAAGCATTCAGGATGCTGCATTTAAACAAGTTCATGAACATTTGTGATCTGATTATTTGCTTGGCCTTTCTAAAGTGACCTGATGTGTAAGAACCCACATTCTGATATAAAACTGTGCTCTGAAAATACAATTTTTGACCACTTTTATAAATGGGCGGTATGTGAGGTTCATCTCAAACCATTTTTTAAAAAGATCTTCTAAGTGTAAAATAACTTTATTTGGAATAGGAGAGGGCGATGAATTGGAGGGGGAAAGGTCACAACTATTAGCAGAGGGGAGGGGGGAAAAAAAAAGTGAAGAACTAGTGGCACCAGTGCACAAATTTTACAGTGAGTCTGTGTTTCAAAGGTGATACTGTTCAGCAGGCTCCTAAATGTGCTGAAAGTGAAAGATATTAAATTGCTTCTTGTTTCAAAGCAGGCTCCTCTTGCTAAAAGTTAATCTTAGTGATTGTTTCTTTTTTTCTTTTTGTCTATATCTGCTTTTTTATTGCAAATGGAAAAATTGCTGTTTCTGAGTTTATTGCTTTGGAGAATAGCTTGCCTAGAGAGTTGCATTTTCAGTACTGGAATTGTGTTATCAATTGTACTCAGTGCATCCCAGGTCTCATATGAGTATTTATGGAGCACATGAGTGTAGATTGCCCATCTTCTGAATCACTGTTTGCTTATGTGTGTTTATCTTTGGCTGCAAAGCAAACAGGAGTTTGCTGGTGACCTGCATATCTCTAGAATAGGAAAATTTTCTCTGTAGGTAAGTAATGTAATGTTCTTCCTAGATATTAAAAACCAGACAACAGAAAATGACAGGAATTGTGAATTCCTGTTGCCCAGAATCCCAGTTGTTACTGTTGAGCTGTGTCGAGTTTTGTTAACTCAGCATTATATATTAAAAAGACTTCTAATTGGTTTGTATTTCTGTCTCCTAGGTGTGCTATATTCTATGCTGCGGGACTATGTGGAAAAACCCAAGGAGTAGAGGCAAAATGATTGGAAAACTGTCCTGGTGGTGGCCTGTGCACTGCAGCTATAAACCTCACATCGAGGGGTTCTTTAAGGGGGGAAAAAAAAATACATGGTGTTAGAGAATTGTCCTATATCTATATTGTGTATGGTACCTTGTTTTGAGGCTGTCAGTCTCAACAATTGCACACAGGGGTAGTGGTTATCCGGGACTGTGTTTTTTGGATTGACGCTGCCCTATCCCAATTTAAGGGATAGGGCAGAGTATGATCCATTTATCTTCCCCTTGGGTATTAACTCGCTTAAAATTGGTGACTTGTTTTGCTGCCATTGCCCCAAATGACAAAGTCTGAACTATTTTTCTCTTGAGCTTCAGCCAGGACATAGGCCATGTCTGCAAGTTATGTCATGGTGGTTCTGTTATCTGTCCTTTTCTATCCTATATATTTTGTCAGTCTCCAGCCTTGTAACTTAGAAGCTTTCAGTAGCACTAAATGATTTATAAGATATAAAAAGATCTATGAACATCTATTTTTTTTATTTAAGGCATGAGATAGGTATTTGGTATGCAACAGCTATTTAAATGTTGTATTTATTCATTGTTAATGACTTGAGGCACAAACTCCCTATTTTTACTAGATGATACATTTTGAGATTCTTGGAGTGCTAAATCTTGTAACTGTCTGTTCAGAGTAACTTTGGGTAACATTTGTATGTTAACATCAAAATTATAATGCTGTGAAAACTTAATCTTGATTTGGTATTTGATACAGCTCTTAGATTTTTTTTTTTTTGCAGTATTGTTCTTTTTATTTAAAAAAAAAGAAAAAAAAAAAGAACTTTGAAACATTCAAATCTGGAAGGTCCTCATCCTCCTTAGTGAGATGTAAAGCACTTCTCTGTAAATTGACAAGTGTTAATTTGTGCGGGAACCCCATGTATTTCAAACGGCAGTCACAAGAATAAATGCAGTAAAGTGAACTTGTTTTTTAAAAAACTTACTTTGTTTGTATTTCATGGTGGCACAGCAGTGTCTTGGTGTGATAGAGGGGGGGGTGTTTGTCACCGCTGTGCTGCATTTCAAACAGTGGGAGCACTGGATGTAACTGGTGTTTGGCTCTGTTTTCTTGTGGGGTGGCTCTCTGTGACTGTGGGTAGACTAAAAACCAGGAAAGCGGGAGGAGAGGGAAAAGCCCTTGAAAGCATCGTGGAGTGAGGAAAGGAGGGATTGGCATTAAGCCAAGCACCATCACCACAGTTCCCTGTGCGGGGGGTGGGAAGGCGTGTGAGGAGGCAGCATCGCTATCCCCCACCGCAGCGTTTTTCCCGTGCCTGATCCCCTTCCCTCAGCCGGCGGGGTAGGAAATGAGCCCGGCTTTGACCCGACCGGCCCCGCTTTCCCTCAGGCGAGGAAACAACATGGCGGCTGAGGCGAGAGGCGGGAACTGCGCCCCGTCCCGCGGCCGTGACGTCATGCACCGCCCTGGCGCTGCCTTTGGCGCCGGGGGCGGGGCCGCGTTGCTATGGGAACCACGCGGGCGGCCGTTGCGGTAGGGACCGTGAAGGGAGAGGGGGAGGGGAACGGGGGGGGGGGACGTAAAAATGGTGTGAAAAAAGGCATTAAACGGCACCACTAGTGTGTGGTGAGCCCAGCATTCAAATAAAAGGCGATGGTTCTTTACTTGTGCCGCGTCAAGATAAAAGTATAGGGTGGTGCTGCTCTTGGGGAAAGCTGGGAGGGCCGGGATCCTGTGTGGCCCACATGGCTTTTAGTGGGAGCCCTGTTGTTAACACATGAGCTCGGGCACCCCATGACCTGCTCCTCTCTAAGATGTTTGTCTTGATTATTTAAGAAAAATAAGTAAATAAAACATCACTGTTGGAGAGTCCAAAGCTGCCACCTTTGGAGGCCCTCGATGGATGACAGGAGCTGGAGGAGAACAAACTATCCATGAGGAAAAGCTACTGAGCTGCTCCTGGAAAAGGACGTTTGGAAAGCAAGGTTGACCTCTACTGCTTCCTCTTCCCTTCTCCTTACGCTCCCAGCAAACGATGGCCTCAGATGTCGGCGTGAATGAGCGTTTTCAAAGCCAGTTTAAGGCCCTCCAGGAGCACCAGCAAAGGAGGCTGCAAAATCTGATGGCAAAGAAGAAGGAGAAGCAGAATTGCCAGAAGGGCAGCAGTGGTGACACGGCAGGGGCTTTCGGGAGCCAGAATAACCTAAATCTGCTTGAAATTGGACATCCTGAAAATGATGATGTCAGCAAAAGGTAAAGGTGTAGCAGCCCTGCTTTGACTTTGGAGAAACACTTTTGCATCTGATTTTAGGAAATTCGCATCGAGTCCATAGAGCACTTGGTATCTGCAGCCATATACTGGGCTTCTGTTGCCGTAAGAAAAGTCTCAACTTCTTAATATATTTATCCACTGTCATGTACTCTTTACCTTTATGGGGGACTTAAAGACGGGGGCTCTAAGGGAAATGCTCCCTGGGCAGCTAGGTGCTATCTGAACAAGCCCTGTCACTCAGGATCACTGGTATCTACTGAACTGGTGGGGAGTGCCTGGCTTCGTACACGGTTTCCTGACTAGTTTCCTAACAAGTTTCCACTGAAAGATCTGGTCAAAGCACCACACGGCTGCGGTGCCAGCAGAAGTGTTCCCGTGCCTGTGCCCTGTCAGGCAGCATGACCTCATTTAGCCGGTCAAAAGACTCCACGGGAGGGTCTGGTGGATAGAGTTGCCTGGCAGTGAAGGCATTCAATGGGGTTATGCAAGGTAAGGGGTTAAATTTCTCTGAGGACAGGGGTTTGGATTTCCTCCATTACAAGCAGGACTTTAACTGTGAGGACACTGGGTATATCTGGAGTGGGTCTCTCTTAATCTCACTTTTGGAGCTCTGTGCATAATTCAAATTTCTGCTCCATAAAGTTCAACTCGGGTCTCAAATCTTTCATCTTCCTCCTAGGACATTGCTGGTCCCTCTGACCCAATTAATAAGTATAAATACAAACTAGAGCAGGTCTGAGGTTGGAAGCATCCCAAGGATGTTCCCAGTTCCTACAGTGCTGGGCAGGATTTACTGCTCTTCAGGAATGAAACAGGCTGAAGAAATTCCTGCTGCTGCCTCCCATTCTCCCCCTCTACAGTGGTGCTGAGAGCTGTTGCAGGGCCCTGCTGGAACCTGGATGCACTTTCTGAGACAAGCGGATTTTTACCCCAAATAAGCTCAGTGATCCAGTTTATAGCTTTAGCCACACAGACTGTTCCATTGACACCACGATGGGGTGGTAACACGTGGTACAGGAGCAGGAAGGAGAGGCTGTGTTAGTAGAGGCTACTCCCTGCTCAGCTTGAAGGTTTGATTAATTCAAGATGCTCTTACTTCGTTTTCGGTGGGATTTATTGTAGGAGATTGCTGATTCATGTGGATCATCCTCTGCCTCTGGCATCCTTTGCTTACTTGTGCAATACCTTCATTCAGCAAAAGTGGTATGAGTATCTCATATCCAGGCAGGCCAAGCTGCTTCTGGAAGGGTTTCGCTGTTATATTCTGATACTGCTTTGCAGTGTTCCCATGACTGCAAGGTAGAGTTTGTTCCAGAATAACAGGGCTCCATTTGTTTTGCAGTGACAGTGATATCTGCATATCATATTTGTTTATAAAAGCACTTTAAAAGCATTTCCCATCTCAGAAATCTTCTGAGCTCTGGGAATTCATTTTCCCTCCCTTCCCTCCTCAGATATTTTGTTTAGGGAAGTGGTTAGCTGACCTTTCTGTCCTCAATTTTCTTCTTTCTCTGTCCTGTGTCTTCTCTGGTAGTTTGATGCACTTCAGGATTAAATGATTCTTGCCATCATGTGGACACATGGAGCTGAGAAAGGTACTTGCCTGAATTTCAGTCCCTGGCCTTGCAAACAGGCTTCCCTTGACTTTAATTTCTTGAACAAGGGTGAAAAAACTTTCTACTGCCTGTTCTTTTTGGTTGGATTTCCAGAGCTGGGCCACTTTATGCCTATGTAATATATAAAGTAGCATGATGTGATGTGACAGAGAGGATACTCCAGCTGTGTGCAGTTGGGATTTCTATCCATCCCAATAACAGTAACATTCATCAAGTAGTGGAAGTGAGCTCTGAAGTAGACATCATTGATCAGATGCACTAAGAACACAGAACTTTTATTCTTTTCAATTCTGGAACTATTGAGAATGATTTTATGCACGTGATTGTGCCCCAATTAAATCTGAACAATTTTGTTGCCTGCATCCATGAGTGGTACATGAGGGGAGTAACTTAATTTTGTCTTTTCTCTGTCTGAATTGCTGCTTTCTCTGGTCATCGTCTTTGTAAAAAGCTGCCTTTGATCTCCCTTTGATTTGTGGCTTTGAAACAGAAATGCATTGCTTAATTATGGATTGTGAAGTGTCTTGTACATTGAGTTTGCTCGCTGTTTTTTTTTTTTTTCCTAGCACTGTCATTTATTCTGACATGCACTTACAGAGCGTGTATTTAAAAGCTAAATCCAGTTTGAGCAAAAATCTTGCTTTCTCAGTATGAAATCTGGCTAAATTGTGGGTTCAAAGTTAGATCATGTCAGTAATTCTCAGGCTTCATTCACTTGCCCACACACTGAATGTCAGAGAGGCTCTGGACTCCCTACCTGGGCCCCAGAAGTTCTCCCAAAGATCCTGCGTATAGGCAGCTCAGATATCCTGGGCCAACTTAAATAGAAATCTCTGTCAGCAACTGAATCGAGCCCCTCCGGCTTTTAATCCTGGATTTTATGTTTGGAGGAGTTGTCCCCTGTGCTGTAAGGGAGCAAAGAGATTAAAGTTTCTCATTATCTTGATGTCTTGGAGAGATGAAACCCTTAAATGTTACTAAATGTACTGAAGAACAGGAGAAGTGAGGCTGTTTCCTCCTTTTCAGAAGGCTTTCTGGTATTCATTGTTTCTAAATGATGTCCAAAGAGTAACATTAACAATACGCTTTGACGTCAGCCAATCCTGGTGGGAATCCAAGAAAATCAGACAAGGACACAAGAAATTGGTCTTTCATGAGTTGCCATGAAGCATTCAATTTTTTTTTTTTTAAAAAAGAAAACCTCAGTAGTGGCTTTTGTAGTTTATAGTGAGAATTTCACTTAAGGGGTCTAAGGCTAACTTTGGAAAGGGAATGGGAGCTTGTGCTGGCGTGGTATGTGTAGAAAGTGAAGTGTGAATATCACATACTAAAACTGAGTCTGCCTGGTTTCCCCTTTAAAACCAAATCAGTAAGAGTGACTGAGATGAGACTTTTCAGTAACCTCAGGAGCCCCGAAAACATACTTATTCTGTGATGTTTTACCCCAAACAACACAAGGAATTGCAGAATTTCTGAAGAAGAAAGAAGCTGACAGTGATATTTGCCTTTGTGTCTTGTCTTTTTTCAGGTTGCTTGAGACTGAGAATGAACAACTCCAGGATCAGCTTCGAGAAGTCAGAGATGAGAATGGGAGACTGTACAAACTGGTGAGAGAGAAAGATTTTGAAATAAAACAACTCCAGAAGAAAATCCAGGAGGACAAACTGGCTCTGTCAGGTAAACACAATAACTGTATTCACGTTACGTTATTTCCAGTGTTTGCTTAATGCTGGTGACAGTAGAGCTAGGACAGTGGATTCAGAGCGAACTAAGCAAAACTTCTTTGAGGAAATATCTTGACATCTCCTTACCCTGCTTCCTTACCTGCTTCATACTTAAAAAAAAAAAAAAAAAAAAAAAAAAAAAAAAAGACAACATGACTGGAATACTTGTTATAGTAAAAAATATTTCAGTGATGTTGTGGTTTTCTTTCCCTGAATAAGTTTCTGATAGGAGGAAGCAAATTCATCTCTTAGATGAGAAGGAATTGTCCTCTGACACTCCTTGTTGAGCTCATTCTGATTTTTCATACTACTGAAATCACTTGGATCTGAATTTTGAAAATACTCAGACATCTAAATATTCACTTAGTCAACGCTTAGAGTTGCTACCTAAACTTGCAAGACCTAAGCTGACGCTGTTTGACATGGACAGTTTTCTGAAGTTGATGTTTCCTTTTTGCTGGAATCCTGCAAAAATTCCTCTTACAGGAATTGCTTTATTGGCAGTGGGAAGTTCCTCACTGTGATTTGATTTGACATGATGATCTTTATATGTGGAATGGCACATATGCTTAAAGATCTATGTCTTACACTCAGTTTTATGAACTGCAAAATATAGATACTCCCCATGATGGAAAACGAGTTTTTGGAAGGACCAAAACGTTTCTGAAATTCTCTGGGTTGATAGGAGATGGCCTAAGGCACAAAATGTTAATGATAATTACAGGTCCCCTAAAAGAAGCATTGTGCTCCTGTGGAGTTCACAGTGGTCTGTGTTCCTCATGGATCTTTTGCGAACTTGCAATTACTGACACAAAAAAAATAAAAGGCAATGACTCACGGAAATCACATTTGAAAAAACTCTCTATTAATGCTGATGGGCAGGGTTGCAGCCTTCTCCACTCTGCCTATCCAGGCCCCTTTCGTTGGAATGTGATTCTGTGAATGCCTGAATAGGGCACATGCAGGACGCTGGCTGAAAACAAAGTCCGTGTTCAGCTTTTAAAGTGCCTGAAAAGGGAGCTGTGTAGTCTGAACCTCTTCCGCTGGGTGCCACTGTTGTTCAGGACAGCACTGATGACTGGGCTAGCCGCAAAGGGGGAGTAATACCCATAAGCAAAAGTAAATAATGCATACATTACACCTGCATTCCATATAATTAGCTATAATTTGCATTTGGGAGAGATGACAGACTGTTTCTGGATCCAGGACCAGGAGTCAGAAGTGCTGTCTTACCTTCTTTATCTGATTCGGTTTCTGGCTTGTGGCACTTTGCTCTATGCCTCTGTCTTCCTTATCAGCACTGTGGCAAAACCTCACACACTTTTCCGGGAATTAGAAGTTTTAATTAAATGTTTGCAAGACTCTTACATGGAAGCACCAGCCTGTTTTGGTTTAGTACTTACTGTGGTACTTAGTAGCCATTAATTATGAAAAGTAAGGAAAGCACACATATGGTAAAGGGGTAAGGATAGTGGAAACATTTAAAAATTAGTTCATTACTTTCTTTACAAGCTTTTTAAGTAGTGACATGTGGTCCTACTCTGTTTGCAACTATACATAGTCCCTTTAATTTCTCTAGGGTTCCGTGGGACTCAGAATTCACTTAAGAATGATGCATGTCACTTGTCACTGACAGTCCTCAGAGATGCCAGTGGAAGAGCCATTACTTGGGAATACTGAGAGTGAAAGGGTTGAAGAGCAACAGCCTAGTTCCATCTTCATGTATACTTTCCAGGATCTGTTGTTGCAGGCTGGTATTCATTGAGAGTTAAAGATTTCCTTGGATGTTTTATGGAGTTATATTGATTGTACACTTACATAAGAATGTTTTTTTCACAAAAAAGCCAGGGGGAACACAAGTCAGTCCTTCTTTACCAATGGGACTGCTTTACCTCTGACACTAATCAAACCCTCTCTGATGAGGAGCTGAATAAAAAGTCTGTTTAAAAGAGCCCAATAGTGCAGGAAGACTCCTTGTGTTATTGTAAAGAACATATAAATAGGCGCAATGAAATTTTCCAAATGTTATCCAAACCTAACTAAAATAATGTGTCTAACCTTTTAGGACTGAGATCTAGAAAAGCTTCTGTTTCAACAGCTCTGCCAGCAGTAAGTAGCCAGCTCAAAAGAGCACATTGTCCCTAATGTGCAACAAAAACCTGTTCTTAACAGACCTTTACAGCGAAAGGCAGAAAACACCTCTGCCCTTTCTGCACAGTAATGTTGCTACTGCAGCTCTCATGGCCTCCTGACATGCTAAAGGGTGCAATTTGGCTTTCCTAGCCGCAGTGCTGACTCAGTGCACCAAGCAATCCAGCTGGCATCACTGATGTCTCTTTCCCCTTAGCTTTTCATGTAAGTGCTTGGCACAGCTCTGGGACTAATGAATTAAGACAACAGAAGTGTGCTGTGTACTGGCCAGAGGTAAAAAGCATCATCAATTCTGAATAAGAATACATTACAGAGCACATATAAATCCTTTGCTTTTTTATGTACTTTTCAGGGACATCTGGTTTAGCTGGGGATATTGCAGCTACTAAAATAGTTGAATTGGCCAAGAAGAATCGGGAGATAACTGCTGAGACCGAGAGTGAAAAAGCCAAAGTGAAGCAACTGAATAACAGAGTCAAAGAGCTGGAGCGAGAAGTGAGACCTTTTCTGTTCTTCGATTGTGATGGAATATAGAAACCCAGCTTTTGGGGTAGAGAAGCTTGAGAAACTGGGGGTTCAACATTTATTCCAGTCTGAATTTGTTTCTGCATCCATGTTTGCTCTGAGGTTTTGTCTTTTCTATCTGTGCTAGGAGGGAGGGATGTGTGTCCCTAGGCGTTCCATCCTTGCTGAAAGGGGGAACTGAGGAAACGTATCAATAAGCTATAATGAGCCAAAGATTTATGAAATCTAAGTTTTTCTCACTTGTACATGAAGCACAGAGGCTTTTCAGTATGGCAATGATATTTTAAGATTTTTTTTTTGTGAGCAGAGCAAATTTCATACCATGTTGTCTTACACCCCCACCTTACTAGTCCTCATCATGAAAGTTTTATTCCTCCGTTTAATGAAATCTGTTTTTAGGCATGAATACTTATGGAACTGCAACAGTAACAAACTATCTCATTTAAGATGGCAAAATTTCACTTAGGCAGGTTAATTTTCCTGCTTTAGTAGAGTTTTGGGGGGTTTTTTTGTGTGGTTTTGCAGGACTTATTTTATTCAGGTGACTGTATATAATTTGGTCATTGGCTAGGATTGTCCTTACACAACTCTGGAGAACTTTTGCATCATTGTAATGTATTTTTTCTGCATTTTGCCCACTTTGAAGAGCTCATTTCAATATATCAATAGATTTTATGATGCTGACAAATGCATTTTGACTCAGTCTTTTACCATCACTTATTTTCATGAATCATGCATTGATCTGGATTGTACCCCAGTTACCCAAAAGATAAGGAAAAAGTAGATGAAATTTTTGAGAGCTGCATAAATCCAGAGTGTTCTCATCAAAGAGGCCTTGTTGAACAGTTGACAGGCTGACGAAGACGTGTCACATGTAGCTGAGGACATACTGAAGTCACACAAATAGGGCAGCTCTCTATGAATAATTGCAAGAAAAATCAACTTGATAACAGTCCTCTGCGGCAGAAATGTAATGATCAGTATTCAAACAGAAACTTCAAATAATGTCAGATATTGGCAGGAAGAAAAAGAGGAATAGCCATTCTGGGGAAGTCGGTCATGCTCAAAGCAACTGACAGTTGTTGTTGATCAAAGCAGAGATATAAATATTAGGTTTGTCCTAGTGTGTTTCCTGGACACTAACACCATCAAAATCACAAACAAATGAAGTAACCTGAGACAGTGATGAAACATCACGTGAGACCCCTGCTATCACAGCAACCAGCAGATTCACATCTGTCAAGTAACCCCCTTAGTTGGATCACCTTCTAGAAGGACCTATCTTTCTCCACTGATTATAGGAAAAATCAAGACTACTGAAGTGCAATTCAGTTGCCCATACATAGATACTATTAGAGATACCAGTTCACCTCCCAAACATCCACCCAGGGCTGTCAGATATGACATAGGAATTGCAGCTTGATAAATGTTACTTTAGACTTATCCTGGCTAAGAAACAGAACCTTCACATCATTTACTAAATCTCAGCTACAGGACATTAGATAGTCATTTAAATTTCTTTTGTGAATAGTAATTTGCCTTTTTTATTTTTAATAGCCTATGATTTTTATTGTAAAGTGAGTATACTGTTATTCAGCACCTAGATTGCATGTCCTAATCTCTCCTGTGCATGATCTAGATTTGTAAGTATAAATACCTGTTTTATGAATCTAGGATGAGAAAATCCCCCAGAAGTATCCAGGCGTCATAACAGATCCTATCTCAGCAAATCAGAAACACTTTCACTGAGGTTCTTCCACAGCAAGAAAACATAACCTTCCTTGGGATAAATCTCTGGAAAAAAAAAAAAAATGGAATGGTTTCCTCTGACTGGATTTGAAAAACAAGGAGAAATGATTTTTTTTTTCTGCTAGTGTGAATAAACATTCACATCCAAATTGCTGTTTTTTTTTTTTTTTTTTTTTCAGCTACAGGCAGCCATGGGAAAAATCCATGCTCTTGGTGGTGGTGACTCAGGAGTCAAACAGTCTACTCTGAAGATGATAGAAGAAAACTTGGTAGGAATTGTAATTGTATAGAAGAATGACAGCAATGCTGATTGTCCCTTATTGTGCAATCTCTTTCTTCATTAAAAAGATGAATCATTGTCATAGATTTTGTAACCAAATTGCTCTAATTCCATTTTATCTCCAAAAATAGGGAATACATTTGCATGAAACTTTAAAAAAAAGTATTCAGGGATCCTGGTGGATCTGTGCTTCCTATCACTCAGTGGTAACAGTGACTGTGAAAGCCTGGCTGATTTAACAGCAAAGTTCAACATCAGAGGGTTCAGTTCAGACAGGTCTAGGTCCTGTTCCCAGCTCTGCCATATGCTGCCTTGGGAATGGAGAGCAAGCTACCAAATTTCTCTATGTCTTTAACTCCTGAGTGTTTGCCAAAGTGTTTGGAGTTTCTTTGCGATTGGAGAGGATCATTCAGGTCCACCGCTGCGCAGGGAGCATGAGCAATCTACTAGGATACAAAGCTCTGCTCTGAAAGTATTATACTTAGTCCAAAGAGCAAGAGTTGAATCTGATCTTCTGTGTTTTGAGAGGAGCTGCTTTTTAGTCTGAAATTACCTTTGCTGAGAGGTCTCTTTATCTCCTTGAATACATGTGCACCTTTCTGTTCTGTACCCACAGATCCTAGAGCCCTAATTTTCCTTATCACTGTATATTCACGTTTTTCCTAGTCACTTCAGTTTTTCATTGGACATTCTGCCCTTACCAAATCCATTCTTCTCTTCAAAGGCTGAAAGTCCAGAGGTGAAGGCCTTGCAAGAAAAACTAACTGCAGCTAATTTCAAAGTGATGGAGTATCGTAATCAGCTCCAAGCCACAAAACAAGAACTGAAGATGACTCAGAAGGTACTGCTCCAAGATGCAATCTATGGCGAGAATCATGTGCAGGAGAAACACTCCTGTTAAAGCCTGGAGAGGCTTCTTTTCCTTTGGTTTTTGTGTACTTGTACAGAGGAAACAGGAGACATGGGAGTAATGGTTTCACTGAAAAATCTATGCATATGGACACAGATTTTGTGTTCTCCATTCATAAGCAGATGACTATTTCCATTATTTCTATCAGTGTGATAAACACAGATTCTTTAAGGTTGAAAAGTCTCAGTCCAGCAAAACAGGTCTGCCATTGACTAGAAGACTACATTCAATCCATTCCTCTTTGCCAAAACTTTTAATTATGTATTTACTTTAAATGTCCCATGGAAGTCAATAGGATTTGAGACTGTCCTTGAATTAAAGCACATTTAAACATTTTCCTTGATTGACATCCAGAGTAACCTTTTCCTCTTTGATTCGTGATGGATTTTAATGCTTGCTTCTGCACTCTGCTTGCTTTAGTTTCATCACTTTGCATGAGACCTGCAATGCGGATTAGAGTAGAGAATATGGTCCTAAAAATAGAACTGCTGCTGACCTTTTTATAAATAATTCAAATGCTCTTCATACTAACTTTAGCTTCCCTTAATGTGTCTGCTTCACAACTGTGCAAGAGACTGGCTCTGTGCCTGATGACAAGGGTGTGCATTAGTTTGTATCTCTACTCTCCATGTTTAGTTCTGGTTATGTATTGCTGGTATCCAAAAATATTGGCATATATTGAAAACTGTTAGTAATGCTTAGTAAACATTGGTGATGAATTTGAAATCCTCTTTTTACATAAGTAGTGTAGTTTGACATCCTGCTATATTGCTAGATAGTACAGCTTGATGCTCTCTAAAAGCAGACGGCAAATTATGGATTTGTGTTTGCCAAAACAATAGCTGAAATTTTTTTTATCGTTCCTTTTAAAAGCTACATAAATTAGTGATTGAACTTCAAAATACTGAAGTATTTTCCTACCCACTTCAGCAAGTGAAATGATTCATGCTAGCCCACCCCCTCCAACCATTATTAATGTCTAATAATGATATGAAACAGCTTACATGGGTTACTCGATATTAGCTACAGTCATTAAAGGCTGTTGTGTACACAACAGTGTTTTGCATTTACTCCTAAAGAGGTTTCCTTGCACTGTCCAACATGTGCTTTAGCTTTGTTGTTAATGCTAAACCCTTCCTTGTAGCTTTTAGCAAATGAAGTTGGTGAAGATGTGAGTATTCAGAGTCTCCTGAGCCATTCTGGCAGCTGGCGTGGACGAGCCCAGCAAATCCTGCTTCTCCAAGGCAAGGTGAGTTAAGTCCTTGCGTGGGACTGTGTGCGGTGGGTGCCAGGCTACTCTCTCCAAGTACATGTGTTTACTTCAGTTTGCAGTAAACGTACTGTTATTCTTCGTTAAGTAATTCTTAGCATCTCTGCCTGCTTGTAAGACATAGCCCAATAATACTTCTTTCAAGTAATTTGGTACATGAGTCCTGTTTTTTTGCTGTTGAAATATGTTTCTATGAGCTGTGGTTTTTTGCACTCTTATTGACTGAAATTGTCAACCTCTGCTTTCTCATGAAGAAAATACATCTTCCCTCCATTAGGATCCCTGGCTGACGCTCCTCTGAAGTTTTTAGGTACTGTCCTGAATTCTGCTGTGCTGTAGAAGTTTCCCTCTGAACCAGCCTCGCTAGGCTTCTTCCATTGTTGATGTAAATCAAGTCAACAGTCATGGTGACGGAGCAAGGTCAACTTGCAAGACTGCCCAGAACAAGGCAGAAAAACTGCTTTAGCAGGACCCACTTCCCTCCGTTGACTGTAAAAGAAGTCTGTAGTGAATAGCTAACATTTAGGGACTGCATTCAGTTCCACATGTGTACCCTGCACTATACCAGCTGGCATGAGACATGTATCCCATTATTGCTTAGGAAGGGTATGGATGCCCTGTAGGTCCTGTGCCATATGTGCCAGATGTCTCCAATGTCCCAGGGCATCTAAAGAGCGCTGGCATTTAAAGTTCACACTATGCCTTGTGCCATACGTGCTGTGGACATCATGAGTCGTGATTCCTCTACAAGTTGAGATGCTTAAATATACAGGAGAAAATGGGAGTATAATCTAGAGTATAACTGTTACCCACACGTGTGTCCAGTGCCATTTGAGATGCTCTTTGCTGGGAAGATCCCATGTGGGATCTTCCATGTGGGTCTCCCATGTGTCTTGGGTCTCCTATAGCTCTTGTGTCCTTTCCCCTCCCAGGGCAGGTGCCTTGGACGCCCTAGGCACCTGTATATTTGTTACCAGCTAGAAAATCTTAGTGTGAATGAACAGACGTTGTGTTGGTCAACCATAATAATGTTAAGAAGTAGATGGCAGGATGCTAACACTGAGCTCGCTTTGGCTGTGTGTGCTTTAATGCTGGACCAGTGTATTCCTGGTAAAGGGCCTGGGTGAGTCGTTATCTTGTCCCCTAGGTTCGAGAACTGGAGAGTCGCCTGTGTCAAAACAAAAGCAAAACGTCAGCAACTGAAATGGATGATGAACTCCTGGCACTTACTGATCCAAGGAAGTTGCCAGTCCAAGAGAAGAACTTGTTGAAGATTCGCAGCTTGGAAAAAGAAAAGAAAGAAGCCTTGGAGGTAAAACCTGTGCCTTAACAGACTCCTAGGTGGAATATTTAGTGGTAATAACTTGGACATTTTGCATTCATCCCAAACAACCTTTCTAAGAGGTGTTCTGGAAAGGGGTCTTACCCTCCATCTGTCATGTGTGGTTGTTACAAAATATAAACAGGTGTCTGGTGTTTAGGGTATGAGAGGGGCTGTCACTGGTGGTGCATGTTGTAACCCCAGAGTTGGAAAGGATTCACAGAAAGCACTGAGCCAACTATATATATTCACATTAGCAAAGCTCATTTCCCTGTGCTCCTTTCCTATATTCAGTTCTGTAAAGGCCACTTGGCACCTGCCCAGAGGTTGATTAGCTGCTGCTTTTCTCATCACAGCTTAACCATGCAACAGGGTGAGCAATGGGGTGATACAGACCTTTCACTCTTGGCACTGAGAATGAAAGGGAAGATTTATAGCCACAGGCACACAGCACAGGGAAGGTTTTCCTTGTTAACTGTGAATCTGCATAGCTTCACTTCTCACTTTGTGTTTCAGGCTCTACTCATGATACCTTTTCCTGTACTTGTCAATACTAAATCTCTAGCAGATTCCTTGATCTATTTAATTTGGGCCAAAACATGGCTCAAGAGACACCACCTGCCAGGGACGCTTTCTAGTATGCAGCGAGGATATGGCCACTGTGTATCGTTGGTAGAAGAGTTTCCCCATGGAAAAAGTTTATCAGAAGAATATTCACTTGAATGGTGAGGTGAATGAAAGATCAGGAACACAGTGAATTAGCTTTTTACACAAAATTAGCATGCTTCCATCCATGTGCTGGATCAACGTAATTCACTTTTATTCGTAAAGCAAGTAGATCTCTTCTAATGCTGGCAAGCAGGTGGTGAATAGCAATGTGTGTAATTTCTACTGAGGTAGGGAATATGGGATGCCATTTCCCTGATTTGGATTCTGTCAGGCAACTTGTGATCCCTTGAACTCACCAGAGCACCTAGGGCTGGGTGATAAGGCGATAGCTGTCATTTCTTATGATATATTTGCCTCACTGCAGAAACTCTCTGGGGAATATGATGCTCTCCAAAAAGATCACGAGGAGGTGAAAAAAAAACTTGATGCCTCAAAAGCCAGGAACAAAGTGCTGTGCAGCGAAGTGAAAACGCTGAAGGGACAGATCGTAACCCTGCTGGAGAAGGGCAAACACGATGACGAGCTCATCGATGCTTTGCTGGTACAGTATGACTATTATCACTGGTCCCAGGCCCTGCAGATCAGTATTTCCTATAACTGTTGAAATGTGGCATCATTTGGTGACACAGACAGCCCTAGAATATGCAGGGGCCAGATGAATCAAACTGTGACAGCCGGAGGCTTTATAGCCAGCTAAAGACCTTCTGCACTCGATATCAGATGGAGCAGAGGCTGCAGAACAGCACCCGGGGTGACACTGCTGGAGTCAAGTGGCTCTAAGCTGCACTTGTAGTAAGAAATATTTTGCAAGATAGAAAGAAGATTGTTTAGTAAGTAAAGGCTTAATTCCTGACTTGTGAAGCTGAACTCTTCTGCCATCCCTGTTCTAGCAACCCTATCAGTAGTTCTGGGTTTTGTTCCATTTTCTGGAATGGCTGCAGTTTCTCACTTCAGTTTGTTGTATTACACAGCCCCAAAAAACAAGGCCTCAAGGATAAATATTAAACCTTGTGCACATCTACCTGCACTAGCTGGAACTGAGAGGACTCAGCCCTTCCAAAATGAACTGCATTAACAGGGACCTCAGATCCAGTTGATGGACAGCTGCAGTCATGTTCTTGCAGACCTGTTGTGTTCTTTCATGATTCCAAGTATTTTCCCCAATTACATAATGAGAAAAAATAATAGAAAATATGTCACTGTTTTAATTGTGTTAATTCTGTATCACCTGATCCAGCTCCTCACAAGCTTAAAGCACTAGCATTTCCTTTTTTCGGTACATAAGGTTTAGCTAATGCATGCTAAGACTAAGCTGGCATTCCTCTTTCTGCACACCAAGCAGACTTGAGAGGAATATTGGTACTGACCAGCAGATTAGTTAAATTAGAAGAGCCAAATTAACAGTTCTCACTTTTAGTGAGAACACTCAGGCTTAGGACAATTATTACAGAAGGCCACAGGTAAAACCAACTGTTAAAACAGCCTAACCACATAGCTGTCTTTTTGTACTACCCTCATTTCTCACTGTCACCATCACACAATCTATTCATGTTCTGATTTCACTAAAAGGACATTGAAATCTTTTCCTGTTAACCAATTTACAAGAACAAGGCTACCTTCTTAGCCAGAGCCAGCCTTTCTTGCCACAGTCTATGTCCAAGCTCCCAGCAAGCTGCATCTTTCAGTGGACCGTGTCCTTTGTACTTGCACTGTCCAGTTTCTGAAGTCTTGTCCTTACCCAGCGGGATGTATCTGGGTGTTAAAAGTGGATGTGCTCCTCAGTCCTTACAGTGAATAAGTGCTGAGAGCAAGATAAGGGGATCACGTGCTTAAGACATTAATGGACAGAATTAATCCTTGCAGTAGCACCAGAGACATCAGTTTGCTTAGACCAGGAAAAATGGCTTTGGCAGGGGAGAGGATTGTCTTAGCATTCATAAATGTGTTTGTCTTGGAGGGTATGAAATACCCATGTGTTCTTAAACCCTGTATACGGAGGTGAACCTGTCATTCATTGTTCCTATTTATTTTCAGAGCCAGCAGAAGCAAATGCAGGAGATTTTAATGCACCTGAGCCAACAGGATGAGAAGAACAAGGAGTCCCAGCAGATGCTAGGGCAGCACTTGAACAGCGAGGCTCAGAAGCAAAACTGCCTTATAGAGCAGCTCAAACAGATGGTGGCTGAGCGAGAAGCAAAGGTTAAAGAACTGGAAGAAGAGATTGGGCAGCTCACACTACAGGTAGACTGACGAAATGAAGGGCACGTCTTGCCATCGTTTTACATCTGCTCTTTCTTCCCTCTCTCAGGTTGTTGCTAGCTCAAGATGGCAGTATTTGCCCTCTTGGCAGGTTCTTCTGTTTGAGTGATGATGGAGTTCTTGTAACTGAGAGTTTCTTTCCCATTTGTCCTTACCTTTTCCCTCAAGCTTTTTAAGCTGCAGAAGACATAAGGGCATCAGTTGCCTCAACATGTGTGTCTCTGTGCCATGGCTATGCTATGTGAGTGACATGAGGGGCTGGACTGCAGAGAGTTCTCCTCGGTGTTTAGTATCTTTGGCTGCTGATGGCGGCAAGCAGGCAAGCACAGCTGAGGCCAGCATCACCAGGCAGCCCCAGTAACCTGCTGCATCCATCACGGGAGCAGGGGGACCTCTAAAAGTTACCCCCTTCTCCCGCCTGTAAAGCCCTTCCAAAAATTCCTCTCCGAGATTGCCAAACTGTTGATATGAATATGATAGATCTCAGCCATATGGAAGTTTTATTGTGCAGTAGAAGAATCAGGAAGATTGGCTCCTTATGGACCAGTATGTTAAAAATGTTTCCCACCTTTATGGCCTGGTGTTACAAGCTGACAGATGCAATCTGATGCTGTCCTCGGAGCACAGCCATAGAGATTGAGCGTTAGTCTGCAAACCTGCCAAAGGCTCCTCCTTATTTACAGCCAGGTTTTGTGTTTAGGCGTCTAACTGCCAATGATAGAAAACAAAGCAAAATTCAAGAAGAAATAGAATGGGAGAAATGGAAAATTATACCTTAAACAGGCTTTGGGGCTTTTACTTTTTAACTTTTCCTGTTACACTGGTCTTCTTTTTTGTCCTATGATTCAACTCTGAGTGATAGCACTTCTGCACCTCATAGAGGTGATGGTGAGACTGTGAATCTGGCAGTAGTGGGATCATAGAGCTGAACTCTTATCTTTTTATCTTTTAGAAGATAAAAATTAGAGAAGGAGAATAAACTAACCCTGGTGGCAGAGTTGTGGGTTTTCTAGCAACACTGTGTGCACCCTGTCATTTCATAGGAAAATGCACTTTTTACTGGATTGTGCTTTTGTTTGTGGCTTGGTTTCCATCTTGCGAGGGATGGAAACTAAAGAAAAGCTTCTGAGAATGTCTTGTAAATCAAAAGTTATGATATACATGTAGCAATAGCCCTAAGCAGCTTGTGAGGTAACAATGCAACTCTTCCTCTGAACCAAGTGAGACCATTAATACCTTCAATTAACAGACATTGACATAATTAATCCAACATTAACAGAATAAATCTGCCCATCAAGGAGACAGCTCAGGAGTCGCTGCTTTATCACCCTTTGAGCACTCAGAAGATACAAGTTTTACTCTACTGAGGACCCTGGCATCAGGCAGTGATGAGGTTGGAAGGACTGGATCTGCTCGGTAAGAAGACCCAAATGTCAATGTTTAAAATAACATGAGTTGCTCAGAAGCATCATTTTCCCAGCCAGTTGTATCAAACTGCAAGCACAGTTTGCAAATGCTATGGCAGCCTGTTTACAGAATATAGGAATCTTTCTCCTTGGACATTTGTCTTGGGACAGAGGAAGATATGTGGATTTGCAGACATCGCTGCATTTAGCACGAGGGTGGTGCAGCTAATTGCTACTCCGACTCAGATGAGGTTTATGTGGTTGGCTTAAGTGCCTTTGATTCTTGTCTTATTATGAGAAACAGGGCTTCTAATGAGCAAGCTTCTGAAAGCAGAGTGGGAAGTTAATACAACACTGTTTTAGGTCAGCACTAAATCACTGATGCATTATTAAAATCAATAAAGATATTTCGAGTGGGATTTCCTTGCAGAGATGTTGTTGGGTTAATGACCACATTAGTTGTTCTTCACACATACGCTTTTTCAAGCCTTACTAAGGACTATTAATTTACATTAATCTTAAAAACAGTCATAGGTCTGATTTTTGTTTAAAATAGTGCTACTGTGGGATACCTTGGCTGTGTACAAGGACCACAGACACTAGTGGAAATTATATCCTTTCCTAGAAAAAAAATGCTGTTTTCATTGCTAGAGCATTCATGATCTAAATGAGAATGTGGTCTTGAGACTCATGTTAGGAGAAAAGAGGGAATTTTCACAAAGATCAAATTGCAGTTAATTTCTCTTATATAATCTTTTAAAAACTCCCTTGCCAGTTATTTTTCAGCATGGAGTTTGGCCTGAAAAAATGGCAGGTGTATTCCTGAGAACAATATTACTATGAATATATTTTTTTAAATCTTCTGAGTATTTTGGAGTTGAAATTAAAACATAATGCTTACTTGAAAACTTCCTGTCTTTTTTTTTTTTTTCATTTTGCCTGTAGCTCCAAGCAGTTTCTCTTTTATTTATTTGTTGTTGAGCATTCCAAATATAAAATCCCCTTGAAAATGCACATTCCTACTTTGTTTCCAGCCTGTAGATTTGATTTCTACAAGCTGCTAATAATTTTTGCTTTCATGAGGTGTGCCGGGGATGATCTTAGTGTCTATGAAAGGGTTTTGCTGCAGTGGTGGAAAGGTAGCTGGCGGTGGCTGTTGTGAACATAATGCCCTGTATGGGCTCCTTGTTGTTCAAAAGTTGGGTGACAGGGGAAGAATCTGTATTTTATTCCATTTTGCTGCTCCTGATAACTTCAAATCTCTGCTGATGGTAGGTAAGAGGACAGGGGGAAAATCTGGGCTAGGAAATGACTTTATAGAAGTTGCAATGCAGAATTTATTGCTGGAGCATGTGATTTTGTCAGGAAAATAGCAGTGTGTCAGGCGGGCAAATGAATGAGTCTGAGCATTGCAAGAGCCGTGGATAATTTGGTCAGCAGAGGTCACTCCATTAACTTTAATATGCTGATAAACCCTCTATCTCATTTTACTTTAGTGAATTGTCTTTTTCCTGTCGGGAAAGATTAAATGAAATCTGCTATAAATAGGAGTAAAAATCCCCTTGGAGATGTCAAAGTGAAAATCTGCGTTTGTAGATTGGGCCACTTTTGTCATTACCAGCCTCAACTTGGGTTTGGGATGGATTAACCAGACATAGTCCTGGAGGCAGTTGTACCTATTCTGTAGTATTAAGGCTCATATCCCCTCTTGGCTGCAGCTTTTAAACAAAGAAACTTGGGCTTAATCTGCAGGGACTTGCCTTTAGGCAGCTGAGTTCAAGATCTGAAATCAAAGATGGATCGCAAAGATCCAACATGGATCAGACAGAGTCTGCTGGAGACACAAGGTGCTTTTGCAGCACGTTTTGGAGCCCGAGAGCAAGCTAAGCCATTATGCATGTGATGTATATTTAGGTGGCTGTGAGTGTCTATCTCCTGTAAAGCAACAATAAACACAAATTCCGGAAAATAACAGGAGCTCCTGGAGAGCTGCCCTCTGCAGAGCCCAGTGCTGAACAAAGCTCTTTCCCTCTTAGCACCGTGTCCAGGATGGGTCATACGCTTGTGGAGTCGCCAGCTACCAAACCTTCCCCCTGCTGTAATAGCATCACACCTGCAAGGTATGGATATAATGTTCATCATAAAGAAGAAATATCTCCTGCCAGGCTCTGCAAGCTGCTGGCAGCCTCTAGCCCATTCCCCCTTGTTTCTATAACTGGCATTTCTTTCCCCATCTTTCCTACCTCATAGTGCCAAAGGGTGCAGACACAGACTCCACTGACTTTTCCCTCTCTTAATTGCTTCCATTTATTGCTAGTTTTATGCCCTCATAAATCCTGTTTCTCCTTTCTCACTCCTGCACCCCCCATATTTCTGCATGTTTTTATTTTTGCTCTAAAGGAGCAAATAAATATTCCAGTGCAGAGAGAAAGGGGAAGAAATGAAGTACATAGTGATGGGATAGACAGAAAAACTGTCCCATTCTGTTCATCACCTTGTTAGATAGAGAATGATCATTGCACAAACACTGCCTAAAGTCTTTTAGTTAGGGAAAATCAATAGGCTGCTATTTAATAGCTTAGTGGAGCACTTTGGAGAACGCCATTCAGGCGTCTCTTGCTTTGGCAGTAGCCGCAGAAGGAGAGTCAGCATTTGTGAACTGATCTGCAGTGAAAGTTTCTTTTCAGGGGTGATGGGAAGGAGGTGCCGAGCTGCAAGGGAAAAACCTTCCTTGCTGAAACCCACAGCTGCTCTGTTTCCTCCTGTGTCTTTCCCACGTACTGCAGTGTAAGCTGGTTGGTGCTGGGGGGAGGTAGTGAGCTGGGCTCTGCAGCCTCGCCGGGTCTTGGAACAAGTGCATTTTGCTCATTTTACAAAAGCCCCCTTTGTTTCCTTTCTCTCCTTTGTGGCCCGAGACACTCACTCTTTTTGCTTGTGCTGCTTTTAGGCTCGCCGGGGCTGGCAGCCCGGCCTGGCGCGCGCTGCACAGCCGCATCGCGGAGCACAGGGCGCTGTGCCAGGCCGCCGAGGTGGAGCGGGACCGGCTCCTGGGGCTCGTCTCCGTGCTGCAGAAAAGGTAGCGAGCGGGCGGCTCATTCCTGCCTCCTCCGTGGGATGCTGTAATTAAGGAGCTGTCAAGCAGGCAGACGTGTGATAGAGCAGGTGGCACCGCATGCCCTGCGCTGCCCTGTGATGCTCCCTTAAATGGGGGCTTTAAAAAAAATTCCGCTCGGTTTCACCGAGCAGCTGATTTTTTTTTATCCTTTTAGAACAAAGAGCAAAAAAAAAAAATGGAGTCATCTTCAAGCCTGCCACACCTCTGTGCATCTATAAGTGTTGTATTTATGCACACGTCATATTATTTAGGCAGCAATATTAATCGTCAGTAGTAAATACTGCAATTCTCATTATAATCTGACTTCTGTTACAGAAGTTTTTGCATTCTTACAAGTTTCATCGTATCCTCTTTTTTATTTCAATTAATTTCTTCTGATTTAACTGAGGTAGAGTGGTAATTTTTTTGTTCCATTATTCAATTCAATTTAATACAATGTTGAGACCCAGCCATGTTTAAGGAGGACAAAGTAAGCAAAGTCTTTTCTCTTTAGATACCTTTCAGCTACTGATTTTTTTTTCCCACAGTTACAAAATGCATTATTTGATTCCCAAATCTGTATTCGAACTTCTAGGAAGACACTTTTTCGCCATGGTGCTTTTGAAGACAGTACATCTCATTTACTTTCTTTATTTTCTGCCAGTTACTGTTTCACTTTGTCTGTCTTTTGTTCTGTACAACTGATCATGGTCAGAGAAAGACATTTCTTTATAATGGTTGAAAAGGTATTGTCCCCTGTTGCTTTTAAGGGCTAAATCATGGAAATACACAGTTTGCAATTCTATTCACGTAACTCCATGTGCTTTTAATAGAGCTAAGCATGTTAGATAAGGACAGAGATGGGAGCGGTTGCTGAATTGGGGCCACAATGAATATGGGATAATGAAGTCGGTGAAATGCACAGTTAAGAATAAAATGTACCATAAACTGATGATTCAGCAATTCCATCATTACCAGTTATCAAGAGTTCCTTGAGGTAAAGTAAATTTTGTGAGGCTGTGTTCAATAACTCTTGGAATACCTCAGGGTAATATACTATCCAGTCATATCTGAACACAAATATATGTTAAAAAAAATCAGGCCTTTGTCCCCTTTGCTTTCCTTTTGGAGCATAGGGCAACCAAAACTCAAGCAATATATATGATGCTTAAGTCGAGGGAAGTTCACTGGAAATGGTTGTGTGGATTCCTCTACAGCAAGAGCGTGTAACAGCTGCCAGAGTTTAGGATTTGCCTTTTGCAGTTGGTTCCTGCACAGCAGAATCCTTTCAGAAGAATAGACCATAACAAGTGTTTTGTAGGATCAGTTCCCTGGGGGAAGAGCCAGAGGAATGTTTCAGTGCAAGGCACTCGCACAGACAGAAGCTTTCATAAGAAATGACCAGTTATGTCCTTTCTCCTGCACTCGTTTTCTAATGTGGATGGTAGGGGGACCACCTGGTCAAATGCAAGTTTAGTGAACTCAGAACCACTGAAGAGAAATATGTTTTCACCGAGCGTGTCACCAGCCTGCTAATTCACTGCACAGGAGGCCAGCGTCTTGCCTGTAGCTAGACTGTAAAAACAGTGGTGTAATTTTATTATAGCTAAATTATTTTTCACTTATTTTCACAGCTAGGAGGGAAACAAGACTAATCAAATCTCTTGATTCAGGGAGTAAGCAGCTGTCACCCGTGGGGTCAAAAAGAAAAATCTTTTATTTCGAAAGACAGTGAGTCAGTTCAGGATTCATTTGATACAGTGAGTCAATTCCGGATTCTCTCTGGCTTTAAATTCCTTTAAATCATTTGACATTAGGTACTACCCCAACAAGATGCACTATTGGCTACATTTGTGGGTGCACAGCAAGTTTTTGTGGCTAATTGTCAAGCTGTTATGTGGGGTAAGCAGAGAAGTTTGCTCTTCCCTGTGAAATTCCAGGGTGGCTCATTATTTTCTCTTCCACTCAGCTTCCTCCGTGGTAGTTTCTGTTGGCCAGGTTTATTAAAAATAGTATTCAGCTGCTTTTTGCACTTTCAGATAAGCCATGCAGAACAGCTAAATGCTAGATAGTGTTTTTAGAAACGGCTTCCCATCCAGATTTTCCCCAATGCAATTTATTATTCCTGTAATTAATGATCTCCCCTCAGCTATCTGCAGCCAGCCTGCTTCTCCGAGTGGGAGATTTACCCAAGGAGTCAGTGCTAAGAAGCAACCTCCATTAATGGACCAATTATTTATAACTGTACTCATTAGTTAATTCTGTTTTGCATCCACATTTGGAGGATGTTGTCTGGAAGGATTGCACTGGGATTTCTGCCTTTGGATACAGGGAAAATTTTTCTCTTCCTTCTTTGAGGAACTGTGCAGCATGAAGCAGAATTCAGTACTGAGCCTGATTAGTACGAGGCTCCTCGCAGTCATGACATGAAGAGGCTGAACTATTGTTTGTTTTGCTTTGTTTTGCATATCAGGGTGGAGGAAACCAGTGATAAGGTTTTGGAAGCTGAGAAGAAGCTTCAAGAAGAGCGGCGTCGATGTCTCGCTTTGGAGCAGCAGCTTGAAAAACTGAAAGTGGATCCAGGGAAGAACATGAGTGCCCAGAAATCTGTCCCGAGGAGCAAGGCAGGTGAGGTGGAGCGCTTAGCAAGGAGAGGGTCCCCGGACCGTCTCCATGGTTAAGAGATATCAGGGATATGTGGATTCTCATCTCAAACCTACACATGTGCTTGACCTCGCACACTGTGATTCAGACCTGCTCAGAGCAGTGGACTGATACAGAAGGTGAAATCCTGGCCATGTGTAATTCAGGGGCCTTTACTGTGAATTTTAAATGTCCCCAGGACTTTTGCCATATGATGTTTTCATGGGATGAGGTTCTAGAGGAAGAACTTAATGCTGCTTGGTATCCACACCAGGCCTATTGCTGTGTTCCTCTTCTGCCTGAGGGATTCATCTGAAGGTTAAGAGCAGAATTAAAGGACACATCCCAATTTAAGTCCTGTCAGTGCCTGTGATAAACTGTTGCTCATGATGAAGTAATTAGATCTGGTGTAATTTATTATCCCATGAACATGATAATCTCCTGCTATAAATATGAAAGCCTTGCTAGCCTAGTTAAAGAAGAAGAATTCATGGCAAGGTGTAAAATTTTTATTTCCCTGTTCAGAACCTTTTAATGCTTAAGGACTCTGATTCTGTAAAATGTCTAAACCAATAAAATGGCACATATTCTTAAGGAAACTTTTACAGTGATTCCTCTTTTTATATGTATTTTTATAAAGTAGAGAGTCTTTAAATGCCAAGAGACAAACACTGAACAGTGATAGGAAGTGCTACTTAAGCTGTGTTGCTTTTCTCTGTTTCTCCTGTCCTTGTGCACTTGGACACATCCATGTTTGGCCACGAGCTCTCTCTTGTGTGGTGCTATTCACACTGGAAACTAGGCTGTCCTGTGCAACATGTGTGTGGTGCTCAGGACCTCAAATGAAACACTGCCCTTCACCCATCTAGGGTACAGAGGGAAATTAGGCACACAGGAACAGGATTCTGAGGAGCTTTTGCCCTGGATAGCAACTAAGCATATGGATGATGGAAAATTACTCCTGTCCATAAAATACAGAAAAAGTAGCACAGAGGAACTTAGAGCCTGTCTTCTAGAGGAGCATTTAACTGATTTCTTTTTTTTTTTTTCATAAGAACCTGATAGCTTCAAGTGTTCTGTTACCCTACCTGTAGATTTCCCTTGCAATCTCAAAGAGATGCAGTGATCAGCACTGAGCTGTTCTGGTGAGGCTGTGCTATAGAAATGGTTTGGTAGATCACTGGCATTTTGTGCTTGGAGGAAGCAAGCTGTAAAAACAGCCTGCACAGTACTCTGGTGTGACAGGGTCCCTCTGACTAAATATTTAGTTCATTATCTTACCTGCCTCACAACATAAAGAAAATGAAGTAAGGATCAACACTAACACTAGTAAGAAAGAAATCTCCATGTCCTCCTTTGAAAAAACTTAGCAGCACCTAGTGACTTGGCAAAACACTCTGGAATCTGCACAAGAAGCCAGGCTACAAGGCTGTAATTTACCTTTTCAGCAGAGTGTGTATGTTATCTGAGTGCTTTCATGCCAGATAGTTGAGGAAATAAGAGATGAAAAACTTGAGTATGTAATAGAGACTAGAGAACCCACTAATTTACATAATGTTCCCTTTTCTTTCTGAAAGGACAAAATTGGAGAGAGCTGATCTAATTACCAGTCTAATGTTTTTAGTCTCTTCAGTTGGAGGGAAGTAGATAGGGATGCTGAGCGGCTAGGAACAACCTACTTGTGTTTTAAATCTATTTTTTTTGCTTGGGATTTTTTTCTTATGGCCTTATCCAAATTTCTAATTTCCAAAGAATCCAATTTCCAAAGATAATATAGATAATTAACAGCAGGTTTTCCTTAAGCCTATAAAATACATCATCAAGATAAAAGCATCTTCTTGGTTGTGTAACTATTTCTTCTTGTATGTTTTGCTTCTCCAAACCCAGTAGTGAGGTTCAGAAACCAAGATCTTTCTCTTCTGAGAGACTCTTAATTAGGAAAGTATTCTTGATTTAGCTTAATTTTAATTGCATTTATACATGCTTTACTAAGTTGAACCTATGCTGAACCTATACTGTATTTATGCTGAGGATCACAAGGTGTTTCACACAAGCTCTTTTAGTGTGTGCCTCACAAATATTATCACAGTTATTCAGAAAGCAACAGTTGTCACCAGCTTAAATGAAATACAATGACAAGGTAAAGATCAAAATAATGCCATTCAGCCATTTCAATCATCTGTTATTTTGGCCACTTTAGTATTTTTGAATCTTTTTTTTTTCCAATTATTAAGTAGGTAAACACTTATATTACTGTTTTTAGCCATGAAATGTAAATGCATGATGTTTTACTTTGACTGAAAGGAGATTAAGAGAACGTTGACTCCTATATATTTACAATATATTCATGCATGTATGAAAAATTTGGCAAGCTCCTTAGTAATTATCCACCACTTCCTGCAATTTACTTGGTGTGTCAGCAGTGAAAAAGATCGCTCGTTTGGTTTGTTAGAACTTAATTTTTGGTTAAATCTACAGGTCAGCCCACTAATCAGTCTAGACTCACCTGGGACGTGAGCAATAAAGAGCTTTCTCCAGCCCAGCTCTCCAAGCTGCCCCTGGAATCACAGATTCAAGAGCTGAGCACAAGGTATGGTTTCCCTTCCTCCATGCTGTGATACTGTCATCTTCTTCAGAAACTCAACAGCAAAGATTCACTGTTGTCCCCCTAACAGTGATGTTATGCGGCCCAGGTCCTCAGAAGATGGAACACAGCAACTGAGTAGAAATCACAGGAAGTCTGTGAGCTGTTCTTTATCCAAGTCACTCTTATATAAACTTCCTAATAATTATACAAATAATAAATACTCCAAATGTGTTAAGGACAGAGCACTTGCAGAAAAAGACACCTTTTCTTTTTGTTTTAACTGTTGATAGCAAGCTTATTAATGAAATTAAAATCTTCATCTCTAGTAAGACAGATCTGAAAGGGGTCTTCACTTTCTAATATTCTCTGTCTCAAAGAGAAAAGGAACAAGTGTTTTTGTGTCTGCTCTTTCTCATGCCTGTCACAACATACCAGAGGGCCTGTGTTTCAGTGTTTCTTCTCTGGAGCAGAATCTCTGTTTTCATTTGCTTTGAAGCTCCACAGCTCACATGAAAGTTTCCTTTTGTTTCCTCATAGGCTTGTGATCCAGCTGGATGAGAATGAAGCTCTGAAGGCTGCTTTGGAAACTGCTGTGAGAATGAAAGAGGAAGACTTTAAACTGTACCAAGACACAATGGACCAAGTGAAGGAGATCTTTCTGCAGGCCCTTCGGCAGCAGAAACAGGAGAAGAGTTAAGCAAGATATTTGGAATCCTTCGGACTGCCAAGGAGAGCCTTGGCATTATGCCCATGAATGGAAACGCAGCGTAAGAGTAGTTTTGCAGCATCCGATCATGCCATTTCCTTAGCATTTGCAGGAGAGGATGAGAAATGGTGTTGGGCAGAAGTATAAAATCAATGAAGATTTTGCATTTCGGCAAGTTCTGTCTGGAAAACTTAACAAGCAGCTCTCAGCCTGCACGTGCTACAGCTTGCTGGAGCTGAGGAAGCTGCAGCTCTGCAAAACTTCCCCTAGTTCCAGCAGAATTTTCCTAGAGAGTGCTCAGTGCCTACTATGCTGCTGCCTTTATCTGCATGTGTAAGAATTTGCCCTACAAAACTTACGGCAGCCCCTTTCCAAAGCTACGGCAGGAGCAAGTTGAGTTGACTTTTTATCAGCACACTGATACCTGTCTGTGAGGCTTTTCTGCAGCACTTAAGTGCTGCAGGAGTAGATTAGCCTGACCTGGGGATATGTGCAAGTGAACTTCGTGGAGACTCCACAGAGCATCTGGCCTGTTTCTGTGCCTGAATGTGTTAGCAGTGATGAGAGCTTTCCCTGCAGAAGTAGAGAGACTGTGAAGATTACCCCTACAACCAGGCAGGCTTACTTTAAATTCAGCTCCTGCAATAGCTGCGTCTATACGAAACTTGCCTTCCAGGATACAAATGCCCAATTTCTTGGTCTCTGCATTCACCCGTCACTCAGGCCTTGTTCTCACTAGGAAGAGAGCAGGAAGAAACGCTAGCAAAACACACGGCGAGCTCTTGCCACGCTTTTGGTGGTGCTGAAAACCCTCACATCTCTGTCATTTTCCCGGAGCACGGTGAGAACACGGGGTGCACACTAATCAGGCATTAACATGCAGCTTGCCAGCAATGAGCCACCCTCGGGGACCGCAGGCAAGCGTAGAGCTACTCGTTTTTGTACAGTGCTGCTTTGTTTCTCGGTTGAAAGTCTTTCAGAGCTCTGCTTTCTGCTTCTCTTTGTTAGCCTCTTTCTGCAGGTGCAAAGTTTGCCCCGTGTTAACCCCCGCCATCCCCACAAAGTCACTTTGCAGCCACCGCTGCCTTCCCCAGCAGTGGGAGCCGGTTCCGCTTCTTGCTTGTGCTGAGATAGGGCAGGGCAAAGAAGAGAGCCAAGCTGGAGTTAGTCCAGATGCAGCGAGTGGTCCCTGTCGTCTTCCTGTTTAGTCTCAGCAGTGGCTCTTCATAGTTCAGAGTCTCTGATAGGGGAGGCTGTGGAACCGAGAAGAAGCCAAACACCGGAGAATTAACCCTCTCTGTGCTTAAGAAAAGACCCTGCTTCCCAGCACTGGCCTTTAGCTGAGCAGACCTGAGGCATCTGTCACAAACAGCAGGAGCAGAACTGCTCTTTGGCAGGTTCTTCTTGCTCTCCTTGGCAGTAGCATCAGATGAAGATGCATCTTGCAGCCATCAGCCACCTCTCCAGCTTCTGACAATCGGAGGAATCACAAATTCCAGCTCCCCTGTGACTGTGATGGGGGAAACGGATACAATCTCATCCAAGGGAGCTGCAGTTTTCCTCTCATCACTCCATCCTGATGGGGATTATGCAGCATGGGGTCGACTGAGCAGCCAAAGAGAAGAAATCCCTCCACCTTGCACAGATATTTTAAGGACCTGCAGTGATGAGCAGAAGATGCTGAAACGTTTGCTGAGCTGTGGCAAGAGGTGCGGATACTTTGCTATGTGTTGGCCACTAACTGCAGGCTGATAGCTTGCAGCTGGAGATTTGATTTCGCTTACACAGAAGTGTGAATCAATAATATTTTAATGCAAGCCAGTGCACACAGAAGTCAATGTGTCGTCCTTTCTAGTACGTGGTCAGCATTTGGCTCCTGTTCTCGTGATGAAGCAGTGGAGATCACACCACTCTCTAGCAAAATTCTCCCAGGGATGGCCCTGAGCCATCCCAGGAAGCTCAGATAAGAAACTTGGAGGGCTCTGTGTTACAGAACACATCTGGCTTGATGATACATGGTGCAAACCTCCAGGGCTGCAACACTCATTTCTTTCAACATGTTTGTTTGGGATTGCACAAAAATGTTAACTTTTTTTTTTGTGCATAAACACACACTTCAATGTACAGGATGTCTGATGAAGGAGGGAGGACTAAGTCACTGTAAAAAGGCCTCTGGAGAGCCCTAAGCAGCAACTGTTCTCCTGGAAACATATGAATTTACTACCTCCTCTAGCAGAGGGTCTGAACACAGGCCTGGCTCTCCAGTCCCCCTTAGCTTTCACCTTACTTTAGAACTAAATTCCCTCTGCATTTCCAACAGACTGACCTTGCTTTGGTTTCTCCCACTGTTGACATTGCACAGATCTCCTGCAGTAACCACTTACCATTTCCCATATGTATTTTCAAGGTGCAAGACTGATATCCCCATGCTGATGTCCCCACACCAGCCTTTCTGCTCCCGTGCTGCAAACGTCTACAGGTTCAGTGGGGCTGGGAAAAACCTACAGCTAACCCAGGGCAGGGCTGCTCTTCAGCTGAATCAATTCCCTCTTCGTCCATCACTCGACCGCTCACGTGCTCTGCCTGCCTCTCCAGCCTGAGGGGGCATTTGCTGTCACCAGCCTTTCTATGAAAATACCAGTTATCAAACTGGACGTGCACTATGCTGATAGAGCAAAAGAGAAGCTACAAAGACAAGTCTGTTCAAGTCCTGTTACAGTCCTATTTTTTTTATTACTGTTTCCTCAACACATCTCATGCAATGTAACTTTAGGCTGCACCCTCACCTAGCTGAGGTATTAATCGTTTCAGGGTGTTGTTTATTATTTGTCAACTCTGAGGGAGTGAGTGGAGAATAAATAGGAAATTCTATGAATGCAACTGAGGAAAATAGTGAAAATACTTGGCTCACTGCCTGCAAACCACATGATATGGGTCCTCAGTCGTGAACTCTTTCCAGAAAATTTGCTTTGCTGTGTGCTTTAAGCTACTACCTTTCTTTTAGGGAGAAAAACTTCTAAATCCGCTGTTTTCTGTGGAAATTTACCCAAGTGGGATAAGCAGCAGCCCATAAAATTGCTCTGCTTTACCTCTGACTTGAACTTTCCTGGCTTCCCTTTGCAGCCAGTTATCGCCGTGACTTTCTCTGATAAGAACTTTGTGATTTCCTCCCAGGTCCAGTGAGAAGCAATAGCAGAAAAACCACAGAACTCTCTTTGATAAGCTGAAGAAAAGGAGGGTTTTGTTCAAGTCCTTATGGCAGCAGATACATGGTGACACCGCTCTGCCCAGCTCTGTGCCTGGAGTTCAGCTCTGAAGAGCAGCACGATGTTCGGTTCTGCTGCTCGGAGGTGTTTGACGCTACAGACACTTTTGGATTAGCCGGTAGGATTCAATCTTTGGTCAATATAAGCTAGGAATAGCCATCCTCTGAGAGGTTAGGCAAGGGGGAAGTGTTTGGGGTGAGTCAAAGGCTCTTGTGCCCGACGTTGGGTAGAGCAGATCCACCAAAGAGACCAAGGGCGCCCGATGGATGCGCCCAATGCAAAAGCACAACTGAGCCACCAGGGATGGAGTCCATCGTGCTCACGGGCCACACACTGAATTAAGTTGTGTCGGGGACATTAAATATAGATGGTTTCTTCACGCACGATCCCTCTGTGCCCAGGGCTCGGTTGGTGCCAGTCATGCTGTGACCTCCTCAGATCTCTTGGTGTAGATTGGGTTAAATATGCAGGGATTTGGGGTTGCCAGAGGCCACCCTGAGGCCATGGTCACCGTGGTCTTGAGGAGCTTGGCAGCAGGTCCCTGTGTTAGGTATCAACCAAAGCAGGGTAGAGGAAACCCAAGCAGGTCCTTCCCATAGGGAAACCTGGGAGAAATCCCCTGGGAAACGGATGCTGCAGGGGCAATAGATGGAAAATTGCTCGGACCAACCCCGCAGGTTCTTTATCCGACAGCTGCTCCTGCCCTGCAAGGAGCACTGGCCGGCACACGACAAAAGGGACGCCGTGAAGCTTTAAATGGAAAAACGCTGCGGCAGAGGCTCCGCGCTCTAAATTAAGCCGCAGCCAAGGGGAGTGTTGGGTTTCTGCCCTCGTGCTCGTCCCTCCCGCAGGACGGCACAACTAATGCCGCCCAAATCCCCACGCCGCTCCGGTTACGGAGCGAAGGCTCCGCAGCCGCTGTGCGGGCAGCGGGGCAGCTCCTGGGTTTGAGAGCAGCTCGTTTGTCAGCAAAAGTGGTTGTCTTTACTGAGAACTAGAGCGCTGGCCACGAGGTGCAGCACGATGGCAGCAAGAGAGAGGGGTATAAACCCGCGTGGATCACCCAATTCCTTGGTAAGGAGCGGGAATCACTCCGGAGGGCTGCAAAGGAGACACAGCAGGAGGCTACAAGGTGCTCTGCACAGGGACACATCCTGCTGGAAGGGGCCAGGTTTCCTCCAGCCTGACCCTCATCATTCCCTGGAAACTAAAACCCAGCTCCGAGCAGGTTGGCGTGACTCCGGCAGGGCCTTTCTGCTCCCCCATTGCTTCCCGGGAGCAAATCCCACTGCTGCGGGAGCCTGGGGCTCGTCCCGGAGCCCAGAATCCTCTGCCGACGTCTGAGGGTTGATGCAACCTGGTCTCCGAGAGGACAAAGACGTTGCTTTCTTGGGCATTTCTGCTGGAATCGGCTGCCTTCCCGAGGTGTCTGTCTGCTGGCATGTTACCCTGCTAGGATATCCAACCACGAATCCTGTTTATTATTCCTGGCCGGACACAACATTGGAGTTTCACCACGGTGCAGAATGAACGCGGTGTTCCCACCAAACCCCTCAGGTTCCTGCGCTGCCTTTGCATGAAACCCCACAGATTTCCCCCTATTTTGTCTCTGGTCTCGGTTTGGGTGCCACAACATCCAGTAACCTGCCAAAAAATGCATTAAAACTAGCACAAAACCATGAAAACAGCCCTTCCTCATAAAGCAACAGCAAGAAAACACAGAGGCATCCCGTGTGCCAAGGAAGGCGCTCTGGTCACATTTGAAACAAATCTTATTATATTAGAAATCAAGATTATTTTTTTCTATCTTTATAATATCTGTAAATTAAAGCTAAATGATTTTTAGTGCCACGATTCCCAAAGCCTCATGAAAAGCTACCCCGGAGCCCTCTAGCAGACCTTTCATCCTCAAAGCTCACAAATAGCTCGGCCCGCAATAATAACCTTAATGTGATAAAACGGCCACAAACGACCTATTCCGGGCCTCGCAGCGAGATCCGCGTCGGCGCCGGGGCCGCACAATGGAGCCCTTTGTGTCCAGGATCTGCCACTGCGTCCCCAGGGCACCCGAGGAGCTCCAGGATGGATGGTGCTCGGACAGGAGCATCCTCCGGGGGGGATCTGTTCTGGGGGATGCGGTGGATGGGGAAGCGGAGCCCTACAGGAGATGGACTCCAGTGGGACACGGGAGCAGATGGTGGTGGCAACGTTTCCAGGTCTTGGTGCCCTCTCCTTGCGTTGCCCCACCATGGAGGCAATGGATAACTCTCCCGTGGATAGCATCCATGGGTAGCTAGCTCCCCCAAAGCTCAGGAGGTTACAATTTTCATCGGAAAGCTCCCACTTGACGTGGCGGTGGGTGCTCAGCGGCCCCCCAGTGCTCAGGTCTCCCTGTGCCCCCTTGCTGGGATACAAGGACCGTTCTCCCTCCTGCCGAGGTTCCTTGATGTGTGGCCATAAACGGAGCCGCCCTCGATGAACCGCGCTCTCCGCAGGCCCTCGGAACACAACAAATTGCCTTTCTGGGCTTATCAGTGCTGATGTCTTAATTACTTTTCCTCTAAGCGCACAGCAGATTGTGCCAAGGTGTGATGAGCCGGGCTCCTCCGGCCGGGGATGGTGACACTGGCAGAGCGGCGGCGCTGGGACGGGGCTCCTGGCACAGGGACTTTGCCTGACCCTCCTGCTACCCATGGGGAAGCGGATGGATCCACAGGACCTTCAGCTGGGCAGTTCCCGCAGGATCCACGTGGGTTCTCAGGCTATTGCTTGGTTCCCCCTAAGCAGGTGACCCACAAAGGGGTTTCTACAAGTTGGGGGCTTCTGCCCTCTCTCTCTCCCCTGACCACACAGGGAGCCCAGAGGGTGCTTGAGGAGCTCTATCCTCATTGGAAAAAGGAGCCCTGAGCGCCCTGCTCGGGCTGAATTCCCATTTGGTGGCACTTGCACCAGGGAGGACTCCTGCCTTGCTGCTCCGTGCCTCAGTTTCCCCATCAATAAACAGAGCTGCCTCTTTCCCTGCTCCACAGGGGCCACAGGGCTGCTCCTTCCATGGGAGCTTCACAGAGGGCTCCCGAAGCTGTGAAAACACAACGGGAGAGCAGGCAAGGAGCCGCTTTCCCTGGGTACCCTCGGCATCCCCGAACCCCAGGCCGCGGTCCCAGGCCCGTGGGAAACCTCCCCACTCTGGTCATTACAAGAGCGACCCCATCGTGCTCTGCCCCCCAGCACCCAGGAGAAGCCAGACCCAGAGGATCTGTTTTTTGGGGAACTCTTTCCCATCCCTCAAGGCAGCCCGGCCGCCCCCAGGCCGCGTCTCCCAGTCCCCGCAGCAGATCTGGCCGCTGCCCCGGGTCCTCTCGGGCGGCTGCGGTGACAGACAGCTCCAGAACCGGCCCCCTCCGCAGCGCTGCTCCAAAATAAAAATACCCTCCGCGCGCTCCGCTCCGCTCCACTCCCTGCTGGACTCACCCCGGGGCGAGGTGGGGGGCCGGGCGCCGCGGGCCCCAGGAGCAGCCCCGACACCCGCCGGATCCGACACACGGATGCAGTAGGGACACCCCGGGGACACCCCACCGCCCTCCCTGCCTTTGGACCCCTTTCCCCCCTCTGGACACCCCACTCAGCAGTGCTGGCCGCTGGATCGCGGGACAGGGTCTCCCTCCCGCTCGGCTCCCGGGGGGCCGCCGCGCTCGCTCGTTGCTCAAGGTCAGTCGTGGCGGGTGTTGTCGGGGATGGAGGGCGGCCGGGCCCCCCTTCCCGTGTACCTGCTCCCTCCCGCAGCCGACGAGCAGTTTTGGAGCTCAAGTTGGCACCGCGGCTCTGCGGCAGCCACTGCGGCCCCCCCGGCGCCGGTCCCCCCGGGCGGCCGCGCGCTGTTAACCATCTCCTCGCCCCGCGGTGCCTCCGCAGGGAAAAGTCCCGCGGCGCCTGGAAAGGGGACCCGTGTGCACCCCGCAACAGGCGCCGCAAGGCGGGCGCAGGCTGCCCCCGCGGGAGTGTGGGGCTGCGGTTCGCAAGGAGAGGCCGAGTCCGGGCTGATGGGCACGGCCAGCATCCCCCTTGCCGCATGAGCCACCAAATCCGGCACCGCGAGCATCCGCGCGGCTCGGCGCCGTCCCCCCGCGGGTGCACCGGCGTGTGCCCGAGTGTCCCCTGCGACCAGGGCTCCCGGGGTGCTCGGAGAGGCCGCGCGCCGAGGTCGGTCCCTGCTGCGCTGCCCTCCGGCTGCGCTCCCGCCACGTCCGCGCGCGGCGCTTCCTCGGCCCCGGCTGCAGCAATGAGCCGAGGGCACCGGGATCCCGGGAGCCGCCGCGGCGGGAGGCCGGAGCGGCCGCGATGCAGCAGAGGCCGGCGAGGCGGCTCCGAGCATCGCGTCCCCGCGCTCCGGCACGCGGTACGTAAAGGAGGACCCTGCTGCGGCCCAAACATGGGGGGACAGGACAGAATGGCCACAACCCCCCCCCAGCAGCAGCTCCACAGGGGCTCAGCCACAGGCTCCTGGTCCTTCGGTTTTCAGCTGGTCGTTCCCTGCACCTGAGATGTCACTGCAGGGCTCAGCTCCAGGTGAAACTGCTTCGTTTTAAGCGATGCACTAAGGCTGCATAAACATCGCTCTCTCACTTCATTTTTTTCCCCCTTTCTCTTGGTTTATAGGTGGTGATTTGCTCCCCGCTGGGGCAGTGAGCTGCTGTGATGGGGGTTAAAGCGAGGCTGCCCAGCTACGAGCTGGGCTTCTACGCACTCGCCCTCACCTGTGCCGTGGTCTACAGCGGCAGCGGCATCTTCGAAGCCTCCAGAGGTGATGTCGCTTGGGCCTGGGGATGCAGGAATTGGGAAGGGATGGGGAATCGCATGCATGAGCCAAGCTGGCCTTTGGAAGGACACCTGTAGATGCCAGTGGAGCCATCCCGGCTTTAATCTTGGTGGGAAATATCTTAGGAAGCCTTTGTATCCCACCCTCGAAGGGTTAAATACCTCCTCCATCCAGCAGCCTCTGCTGAGGATCTGCTAGGAATCCCTGGGAGCACGCGGAGACCAAAGGCTTGGCTGGAAATTGGTGTGGAATTGGTTGCGGATGATGATCTTCCTGGTTCTCCTTGGGAATTATTCTTTTTATTACTCTTTCTTGCAGACAGTATGAACAGGAAGGCCTTTCGGGATGGCATAAAGCCGGGCTGGCATTACTTCGGCAGGAAGATGGTAAGTGGAGGAAGGAGATGGACATTTCCTGGGGTGACATGGGCAGTGGTGACTGCTGGAAAAGCAGCAATGGCTTTTCTGCTGCCGACACACGTTTGCAAAGTCCACATGACCTTTCATTTCCACCCCGCCTCCCCTCTTTTCAGTGTGGCCTTTAAAGAAGTCAGGGAAATGTTATCCCTACGGCACAGCAGAAGCATTTCTCTGCGTGCGCCTAGGGGGACAAGCAGTCTCTGCAAATCACTCCCTGGGTTTTATGACCGAGCTAAAGTGCTTGGTAGCCCTAGGGTGGCAGATGGGAAGAATGGGCTTGGAAACCACTGTGATGTTGAGGAGTCTCACAACCTAAATGCCCTCAACAAGCTGGGCATCCGAGAGCCAAGGCCGGAATGGGGTGAAGGCTCGGGGCAATAAGGTACCTGCTCTAATTGTGCAGGACATGGCCGACTTCGAGTGGGTGATGTGGTTCACCTCGTTCAGGAACTTCATCATCTTCGCCCTTTCAGGACACATCCTGTTCGCCAAGATTTGCTCCATGATCATGCCGCAGGTGAGCAAGGGACCCAGGGGGCTGGATGTAGGAGCATGAGATGATACAGAAGAGGCTCCTTGAAGGAGGTGGGAGGAATCTCCGCAATCATTTGTCTGCAGGATGGTCAGGATTCATCCACAGTTGATGAATATTTGGTTCTTGTGCTCAGTGTGGGTATCATTCATAGACTTGGCTTCTTGCACCCAACATGGGCACTGGGGTTGCAGGAGTGTTTGGATTTGATCCGCCACTTGAAGGCCAAGAGGTGGAAAATCGCCAAGCCTTTCCAAATCAAGGCCAGGATGGAAACTAAATACATGGTCCATTGAGGAAGAGCAGCATAAGTGGTTTGTGAATGTGCAGGAGTGGGACCAAATGGCAGTGCTGGGACTCGGATCCGCTATGGGCTCGCTGCTGGGACAGCTCCATGCAGCAACCCAAGATGGAGCTGAACTGCAAGACATTTTAGTTCATGATTTTTAGAACCACAGCGGTTCTTCCGATCCCGTTTCCTGGGCAGCTTCTCAGGGATGCCAGTCGCTGTATTAAATGTCTTTGCTAGCTGTAACGTGAGATGGGGTTGGGGCTTTCACAGAGCTGGTCACGGAGGGGACCTCTCTCCCTCGCAGCACCGGGCCGTGGTGTACATGCTGTACGGGCTGCTGTCCGTGCTGGGCAGCATGGGGCTCTCCTACCTCATGATCATCCTCTCCCACTGCATCGTCCTCTACTCCGTCTCGCTGGTGAAGCACAAATGGCTCTGCTACGTGGCTGGGCTCTGCTCCCTTGCGTCCTTCAAGCTGGAGCCCTTCAGCTCCTGGCAGGTAGGTGCTGTCTCAGGTCACCCTTTTGCCGTATTTCAAAGCTAGCCAGATCCCTCTCCTTGGATTTACCAAGAGTGAGCTTGGGTTCAAGAGTACACTTGAAAATAATCTTGCAGAGCTGCGCCTTGCTTTAGTGACTTCATGTTAGGCCAGAGCTCAGGACACATGAGTCCTTTTTGCTGCTTGGACCACAGCTCAGGCAGGATGTGATGCTGCCCCATGGCTCGGTTTCCCCACCTGTAACACAGTGCTACAGTGGGTTCTGTGATATCCATATCTATCTCTTAGGTCCCTGCCTAGATAAATACTTCTACCCTGCTGGAAGGCAGAAGATCAGGGAGGACCTTAAAAGGGCTTTTGGTCCCCTTTCCCACCCAAGGAAAAGCAGTGATACCTGCCCTTGTCCACCACCTTCCCCAGCATACCATCCTTGTGCTGCCTTTCCTGGGACCCCAGGGAGGACTCCATATCCCTTTCCTGGGCTGGAGTGAAATTCCTGTAGCTGGGATCCAGGGAATGCAGCTCAGACCTGGGTCTGAGGCCAAAACCCCACTGATCCTGATGTAGCTGGTGCAAGCCCAGCTTAGTGAAGACGAGAGAATCTCCTGATTCCTCTGGGGTGCAAAAGCATCAAGCCCCATTTTTATCACTCTAACTACTAAAGCTAATTAGTCATGCAGCAATTTGTGTCAGAGTGTTAATTGGAGGCTTTAAACCATTCCCCCAGGAGCACGAACACCCTCAGAAAAGCGAGGACGTGCAGAGGTGATGTGAGGTGTGTGGTGGTAACTCTTCATTTCTCGCCTAGAGTGGATTTGTAACGGAAACTTTTCATCTTCAAGACGTCCTCTTCTACGGGGGCAGTGGCTTCACCATCATGCGCTGCATGAGCTTCGCGCTCGAGAGCTGTGAGAGGAAGGAGGGCATCTTCTCCATCTTCGATCTCCTCAAATACAACTTCTACCTTCCCTTCTTTTTCTTTGGGCCCATCATGACGTTTGACCAGTTCTATGCTCAGGTAAGTGCCCTGGGCACCTCCCCGGCCAATCCGTGAAGGATCCATTCCCCTTGGTGCCGTGTCAGGGTCAGGATAAATGGCAATTCTTTCAACTCTTTACATCCAAATATGCTTTTACATAATTAATAGATCTCCATCAGCCAAGGAAAACATTATTGATTCTTAAGAAGTCTCTCTTGCCTGGTTGGCGATGGTGCTGGGAAGGCAATCTAACTCCCATTTTCGTTTTGTTTTCTTTTAAGGACTGATTATATAGAATTTAAGGACTCCAGTTGGATGCAAGAACATTTTAGAAATGTCTTCCTGAATTCAGAAACCAGCTAGCACCCAGGGCAGGTGAGAGCAGCCAGGGCATCCCTGGTGTGGAGGCAGGAAGACTAAAGACTTCAAACTTGTTGTGGAAGGGATAGCCACCTAAAAGGCCTGGAGAGGAGCTGGTAACCCCTCAAGGATGGGATGAGGCAGAAGGTTGTCCTGTGGTGGTGTCACTCGAATGACAGGGTCCACGTAGATGCTGTTCTTGTAGGTGGGCAGCTGCACATTTCAACTGCCAGCCACAAAACTGCTGTTATTGCAGGATAAGAGCTGGTCTGAGTCCAATTGATGGAAGACACAACTACCTTATGCTGCCCATTAAAAGAATAAGATAACATCCTTGGTTGTGCAGAGGATCAAGATTCCTTTTATTTCCTAGATCCTTTTATGACGTTGGACCCCAAGGAGCAGGTTCTTGGGATCCAAGCCAGCTCTTGTGTCCCTTCACGGTGCACAGAGTTCATCCGAAGCTGTTTTTCAGCAGGCAAAGATCAGAGACCAACTTCAGACAGACTCTTTCCCCAATTCCGCTCCTTCGCAGCCACCAGAGATGCTGAGGGTATCCTCTGTCTCATCCTGAGGTTCAGTCTTTCCAGATGGTGTTTATCTGCTGAGCTGAAGTTCCGGCAAATGTTCTGGCAGCCTTGCTGTCCAAGATCCTCCAGAGAGGAGTGCCCAGAAGTGCCCTTCTCACCCCTAACTGGTTTCTTTCCCCAATTTCCATCACTCTTCTGTGAAACAGTCATAGCCTCCTATACAGGCAGTTGTGGCTTCTTCTAATGTCTATATAAATCGTGGCATTAAACTCCCGGTGTTTGCAAGACTTGAACTTCCACTGTCCTTTAAAAGGCTTAATCTCTGTTTTATTTTTCTTGTCTGTTCCTTTTCGAGGAGTGATAAACAGTTATTCCTCACCACCCAATGAGCAATTCTCCTTTTTACGGCCTCTCCTTTAAAGGCAGAGGGATCAAGTCTCTAAACCTTTTGTCCCCTCCGGCCAGGGACTCCGTCTTGGCCTGGCCACCACTGCCACCTCCTGGCTAGATCCCCCCTGCACTGCTGGAGCTGCAGCTGGTGGCAGAGGCTTTTGCAATGTGCCCAACAGAAATTATAGGGGCAGAAAGAATGAGTTCCTTTTCCAGGATGGGCTGAGGATGGCCCAGTTAGAAGCTCTGTCTCTCTGGCTCCTACTGGTGATGCCCTTATACACAACAAGATGTTGTCTCTAGCAAGGCTGGCTGGTCCCGGTTGGGCTGAAGAGGTGCCGGTGAGGGGCACTGGCCTTGGTGAGGAGGTCCTTGAATTACCAAGGACCAATCCTAACACCCATCAATACCAAATGCCATGAGCTGAACACATGTAGTGCCCCAAAGTTGGTTGCTGGCCATATGAATCCTGGTGCCTGGCTCCAGAGTGGGGTCAAGCTGGACCTGGATCTTCCTTACTGGGATTTGGGGAACAAATTAACCTCTGAACAGATGGAAGTGTGTGTGGTGTGAGGGGGCAGCCCCCATCTCAATGAAATGGTGGCAGGATGCTGCTGACCATGCACATAAGGGCAGGAGTTAATGGGAGCAAGGGAGTCATGCCCTGTGATACAATAGGGAAACCATCACTGGTGGGAAACTAAGGCCCTGTGTCTACTCTTGTGTCTCTGTGCAGAGTTCACCCTCCTTTAGCAGATCTTTGGTCACTCTTCACCTTGCTGGAGCGATCCCTGGCAGTGCTCATGGCATTGCCTGTGGGGATAGAGAGCTTGCCTCAGCTCAAGTTCCATTTTCTTGAAGCAGGAGGGTCTTAGGTGCAGTCTGTATGTAACAGAATCAAGCAAATCTGGCAAAGGCTTTAATTCCCGGAATCATCTGGTTTTGACAACTGGGCTATTGCAGCAGCTTGCAGATTACTCTCTGAGAACTCCCACGTCTCGCGAGGAATAAAGAGAGTAATAAACATAAGAGGATTTTGGATACAGCAGCAATTTTTACGGCAATGTGGGGAAATGAGGCCATCAATCTGTCCAGTGTAATCCTGAAAGCTTACTCTGATTTTTATATTACAACATCCAGAGACGTATCAGCTCCTGGAGACAGAGCCTGGCCCATGCTTGCACTGGGCACAGCAGAGAGAAAAGCCTCTTCAGTCAGTCCTAAGTCTTGGCTCCCTGATGGGTCTGACTCTGTCCAGATGCTTTCTCCCTGGTTGCTCCTTCAGTTTAGCCCTTTCTTGGTTTGTTGTCCTGACAGGTCAGCACCCGAGAGCTACGGCGCAAAGATGATGAGATGAGGAACATCCGGGTCCATGCGGTCCTCAATGTGGGGGCCATCATTGCTGTGGACATCTTCTTCCACTTCTTTTACATCCTCACCCTCCCTTCGGACCTCAAGTTTGTTAACCGCCTCTCGGACTGGTCCTTAGGTGAGTGGCCCTGCAGCGATCGATTCACATCTTCTGCCCTCTCGTTGATGCACCTTGTCATTGCCTGTGCTGGCAGGCTTGAGTAGAGACCCTCTTCCATTTGGTGATGCACAGAGTTGGGTAGTTTTGGAGAATAAGGGTGTTTAGGTCACTTGCTGAGTGCCTGGGCTGAGTGTAGGCCTAGTTTGGCTTTAGGGGAGTCTCAGAAGGTCTGCCTAATGTCTTCAGCTGCCTAAGGAAGATTATAGAGAATATGATGGTGACAGATTATTTTCTTCTTGCAGGCTGACAGTGAAAGAACAGGAAAAAAAAAGGATACAAGCTGTAACAAGAGAAAGTTTGATTGTATATAAGGATTGTTTTTTTCATAAAAAGAATGGTTAAACATTGCAACAGGGATCTGAGAGTTTATGGTGTCCAAAAAGATGGCAATATTTGAAACTCGTATAGATAGGGTCCTGAGAAACCTCATCTTGGTTCGAATTTAGCCCTGCTCTGCATAGGGGTTGGTCTAGGGACCTCTGGATTCCAAATTTTCCAGATGAAAATCAGTGGCTGTGCTAGGATTCAGCTGGCAGATGGGCAGTGGATTTCAGCTGCTTAAACACATGACTGTTGGCAGCGTTTGAGATGCAGTAGGGTGTCTGACCTCCATTCAGGGCTGGCAGAAGGAGAGGCAGAGCTGGAAGAAACCCATGTATCTCCATAGCGGTAGCTGGAAGCTGGGCAAGAAATCCCAACGCATCTAGAATAGCAGTAGATGTTGACTTAGACTGTCTGGATCTGGATGGACTGACTGAATATGTGAGCCACATCAGAAACCGAGTGGCTCTGCAGGTTCTACTGACTCTATCAGTCACATCTTCATCGTGCGTGGTGGAAGCTCAAGCACATGGTTCATTTGAGAGCTGGATCCCTCCCTTTTCTCAGCCTCTGTAGAGGAATTTGAAATCTTTGGTGTACAGGGATCACTTTTCCATTGTCAAACACCTCTCCAAGAGAGGACTTCTCTTCTGGCCCCTGCACTGTTGCAAGATCCCTGTTACATCTATGGCCACTTCAGGGTATGTTTGGATGGAGGTGAAAAACAAAACCTGAGAAACCAGAGTTGAAAATTTTGATCGGTTTGTCACTATCTAACAAGATTTACAGAAGAAAGAGCTTGAGGGAGGAAATGTGGTCTGTACGACTCTCTCAGATTACTAATACCATCCAACAGTTCCCTCCAAAGCCTAAAGAAGGTATTACTCTTTGATTCAAGCTTCTTAAAAGGCTACTTAGTTCTTAAAGTTCTGTTGATTCCAGGCAGTATTAAATCCTTCCCCTGCTGCCATGTTTGTTGCTATAGAGTACACAACCCTATGGTTCACAAGATTCCCCCAAAGTCCTGAAAGTGATGCGTCCTGTGCTCCTCCTCACCTGTTTGACTCCTGTTTTTGCTCCAGCTGGCCTTGCCTACTCCAATCTGGTGTACGACTGGGTAAAAGCTGCTGTCATGTTCGGAGTCATCAACACCATTGCCCGACTGGACCACTTGGACCCACCACAGCCCCCCAAATGCATCACCATGCTCTACGTCTTTGCAGAAACGTGAGTAGTCCTCATAGAGTGGTGAACAGAGGCAGCACGTTCAATGCAAAATAAATGTGTGTGGAGGGGAGCAGGTCTTGGCTGCGCTTCAGAGCAGCTGGCATACGTGTTAGAAAATGTCTAGAAATAGTCTATTCTGAATGTATCGCCTTGGCTTGGCCACAGCTCAGGGAAAATATCCTTGAGTAAGGAGCAGGGGATAACAAGGGAGACTGTAACCAACAGCAGTCTGTAAAACAAATAGAAGGAAGGACTAGTCTGATCAAAATTGCTGAAAATTAGGTTTTAGCTGTACCTCCCTGGGTGACTGCATGCCTGCTCTGGGTGGCTGTTGAGTAAAAGACAGTCATTAGCCCTTGTATTCTAACACATTTATATTGTCTGTATTTTAGGCACTTTGACAGAGGGATTAATGACTGGCTATGCAAGTAAGTCTATAATCAATTGTCTCCTGGGTTGTTTTGGAGTCTTCTTTTTCATCACACAGCAATGAAACATTAAAAATTGTTCATTCTAAACCTAGGTGTTCTCTCTGCTGGCTATATTCCACTTGAATACAGAGCCAGGCTCAGTCTGCTTATCTCCAAGAATATTAATCAACCTAAAATTCAATAGCCTTCATGGGGAGGAATGATAGAACCCTGCCTCAGAATACTCTGTGAGTCTGAGAGGTTTAGTGTTCCCCAGAAGGAGGAAGAATCAGGATTATATTCCCTCAGGAAGAAAAGGGAATTGAGTTCAAGTGCCCAAATTCCAGGATAAGAAGGTCTAAGATAACCTGCAAGTCTATGGTTTCATCAACAAGGGAGATAGTATTTTGTCCTTAGAGGGGCTATTGGTTTGCAAGGAATATAAGCAATGAATAGTTGGACTGTAGTCAAAGCTGGTTTATTAGAGCTAGAAATCGTCACCACAAACTTCCTTCCCCTCTTACCAAGGCACTCTAAAGCCACCTATCTGTGAGGATCTCTGCAGGAAAAGGGGCTCCTGAAGGTTTTCCTCCACTACAGGGTGTACCAGCTGCTTTCTTTTGTGTTAGGTATGTGTACGATCACATCGGTGAGAACCACGACAACGTTGTGAAGGAGCTCATGGCCACTATCTCCACCTTTGCCATCACTACCCTGTGGCTGGGGCCCTGTGAGATTGTTTACATCTGGTCTGTCTTCAACTGCTTTGGCCTCAACTTTGAGCTATGGGTGCAGAAGTTCTTCCAGCGGGAACCCTTTGCCAAAATGGAGGTGAGGAGCTCGGCTTCAAAGGGATGGGAAGAGCAGAGAGTCTAAGATCAAAATCCAGTCCTGGAAAACATCCATTTTTCTTGTGAGCTTGAACTTCTTTATACAAATGGGATTTATTTTCAGCTGAGATTCATGAGGCAACATCCCTGATGCTGCACAGCTGCCATGTCCTGGTCGCTTGCCTGGAGATCTGCAGCTCTCTGCATCCCACAACCTTTAGCATCCTTGTGACCAGCCTGTCTCTTGTGCAAGGGAAGGGCATTCCTGGTGCTGTGCATCCCATCACTTTATGGATGGTGTCACCCTCCTAGATCAGGCTCCCTCCAGGCTCTGTGATATTTCAAAGGAAACGTAGGCTGAATGTGGAGCTTTCAAAGGGAAAACAGATGCCCAAGAGAGCCAGGACTTGTAGCCCCAGTGAGGCATCAAAGTAGCACAGATGGACTCAAAGTCTAAGGTGTGTTCACAGCAAAATGTTTATGCATTTCCATATGGAAATTATTTTTATTGTTCTGCAAAACACTTTAACATTCTGAGTATTTTCAGTCTGATTCGAGATAAAAACAAATGTTCAGTTACTACAATTAATTCTTTTCCAAACTCTTTGAAGCTTGATATCCAATCTCTGTTTGGGACCGAGATGCTTTGGAGACAGTTTGGAAGAAAACCTCAGGAACTCCCACCCTGCAGATAATTCTATTGTTTGTTTTTTTGCCTAATGTAGAAAGTCTGGAGGCCCTAAGCCGATCCAGTAGAGACAACTTCTGAATAAAAATTTCATAGGAAAATCCTCCCATTTGTTCTCCCTGTTGAACTTCTAATCAGATTATAGCACTCACAGCCGGTGAAATCTTCTTCCCTGTGGCACCACAATTCTCAGCACTAAGTGGCCTGGGGATTCACTGTGCTCTTTGAAGATTGCCATAAACCACTTCCCTCCTCCACTTGCAGCAGCTGCTCCTGAGGATTATGTGCTGGTGACAATTTCACTCCGCTGCTGTCACTAGTTTTCATTATTTATTTATTAATCCCTAAGAAACAATTTCTACCAGAAGCTTGGAGTGATTTACACATGAGGCTAATAATAATCCTATCAAGCAACAGTGTTCATCTGCCTTGAGGGACGTCTTACCCAAGGCAACAGATCAAGAAAGGAGTTACTAACCTCTATTATTAACATGAAACCATGTCTAACAGCTTGACCTTACGTGTGGAACCTCAAAATGCCAGCTCTGAGTCCCAAATTCATCTGACTTGCCCTCAGACTGGGAGCCAAGCAGCAGTTTTACATCAACCTTATGCTTCTTGATGCCACAGATACCACAGGCTGCTCTTATTTATGCCTGCCCATCTGGGATCCCAGCTGGAGTTCGGCTGGCATGAACTAGTGAATCAGCACATCTCCTTTCCCTACCCCTTCCCATGAAGGCTGGGAAGGATGTCAGCCACGTTTAGACAGCCCTATCAGAGCCTGGGTGCTGATGCCTCCAAACAACCCAGCAAGGAGGTATCTTGAGCCTTGAGATGTGCCTCTGGACCCAAGGCTCACCAGAAAAGCGTCCAGGGATAACTGTCTGTGATTACACAGGTTCCGGGAAGGAAAAACTAAAACAATTTCACCCCTATAAGAAGCAGACACGTTTTCCATGATTCTCCACTCCTTTTCCCTAAACAGGCCAAAATGTCAGCAGCCATGTCTCGGCGGATTAGGGCAGTCTTTGGAGCAGCAAACTTCTGGGCCATCGTCCTCTACAACATCCTGGCCCTCAACAGCCTGGAATTTGCATTGCTGGTTACCAAGAGACTCCTTCTGACAGGTAAGATGTTACTGATGTCCCCAGGGAGAGACCTCAGCTTAATGAGGAACACATGGGAAGGAAGATAGGGATAGGAACATGCAAATTCTCTTGAGTTCAGAGCGGTCTGGCCTTTGACTTGATTGTGATCATTCCCAAACCATCTTAATTCTCATAGGTGGCATCTTTCTCGCCTATAAAAACCTATAAAACATACGGAAAGTGGTTGGTTTATCCTTCTCTGTTGGGGCACAAGTTATCCTTGAGATCTGTTTGTAGAGCTCATAGGACAGCAGGACACTACGATTAGGAATTTTGGGGTCAATGGAAAAGTTGCAGGTAACCTGCCAAGGCAAACTGAGTCCAGTTCTCCCTGGATGGGAAATTGTCCCCTTGCTGGAGAAAGGGATTTACTCAGTTATTCCCGTGTCAACCTGGAGGTGATATCTACAAATTTTCCCTCCTAATCCATCTACTTCCTAACCATATATTCTTGATTGTCTCCATCATTAAACACAGCAGTTCATGCTAGGCTCCTATTAAACAATCTTATCTCTGTGTTTCATATCAGTAGATGACGTCGCTATTTTGAAGCCTGTTCAGAGAACGTAGGGTATAAATAGCTAGGAATCCATGCCTTCACAGCCCATCTCTGGGCCAGAAGTTGGCATAGAAAATGGATAATGTGACGCTTTGGGTTCAGTATGTCAGAAGTTCCTGCCAGTTGAGCTAGCTGGCTTTTCCAGGTTGCCTTATTCATTCCAGAGGTCCTGTTTTAGCAGGTACAAAGCCTGTCTCTGTCCTCTGCCATGGATACCAGACCTATGGTTACACATGTCATCACACTCTTCCTAAGCAGTAGGAGACTTCTCTGCCCTTGGATTGCTTATCTAGGTGACAAATAAGTGTGTTTCTCTACACACTATGCAGGGAAGTAGACACACTATGTTCGAGTTAGGTGTAGGACATGCCTCAGATGAGACACTAGGCCACACCTGGACCCTGAGATCCAGACAGTAACAACACTGAGGCAACAAGGGGTTTTGGCAGGTTGACCAGGCAAAAAGTTAACCACCCAGCCCCAAATTAGGGACAAGAAAGAGATTTATCTGAGGGGAAGGGAGTGCTCAAAGCCACTCTATCATTTTCCAGATTTGACTTAAGTCCTTGATGCTTTGGTGGACACAGGTACCACATCATCTAAAATCTGCCCCTGGAGGAGGTCAGAGAAGGAGGAGGTCTGTCAGAGAAGCTGTAGGGCTAGATCCAGAGTGGAAAATTATTGGCTACTGTGACCTTGTGGAACCTACCAAGGCTGCCCGAGGGGAGGAGGTACTGGAGAAGAGCTGTCCCCATTAGGCAAGCCATCACATTGAGATGACCATGTGTCCCTCGATCTTCCAGGTTTCCCTGTCAGCACCTTGTCCATCTGGTTCATCACATACTGTGGAGTGCAGCTGATCAAAGAGCATGAGCGCTTCCTGGCCATCGAGGAAGAGAAGTGTGACAAAGCAAAGCAAGAGTAGAGGAAACATCAGTGGGCCTGCCTCAAAACCTCAGCTCCCCTCCGACCACCTCTGTCAGACCAGCAGCTAACAGGGGCTCTCCAAGCACACCTGGCAATCAAAATGCTGTAGCTCATCCATGTGTAAGTCACCTGGAAAGCACACCCTCTTGCTGCAGTAAAGATTTTCTGTAGGACATCCCTGGGCATTATGCAGGCTATCCATGCGTGGCAGACTGCTGAGGTAGGCTCCTGATCCATTTCTTTAAGGCCAGCCTCATCACTTGTCTGACCTTCTGACACAGCACAGACCTAGAGATTTCAGCCCTCGGTTTCCATAGCATGTGGTCCACCAGAGCATTCAGCTCTCCCACAAGACTATGTCTCCCAGAGACTATGCAGGTCCTACTCCTGGAGGCTTTAGTGTGGGCTGAGCATATAGCTATGAGAAAAGGATTAGCTAGTGTTGAGCCTGCTCTGAGCAGATGCCCTCCAGGTCATTTCCAGCTCAAGCCTCACATGTTTTTTTCATTGTGAGAAATAGTCGGTATCCACTGTCAACTATTCAACATCTCTCTTGTGTAGTAAGGACTGCAAAATGCCTTGGTATGAGATATACCTACCACGAGGCTAAAAAATAAACAAAATGTGCCTTACAGCAAAGGAAAAGAGGGCTAGGAATTACGCATTGAAGAGTAATTAACTCCCCCCACTGTCAGCTATGCAGAGTGATAGCTGCTATAATCTCAAACTCTCTGCAGAAGCAGTCCTTTCAGTTCTACTTGTCTTGGAAAAAATGATTTAATGCCCTTCTCATGCCTAGTTAATGAAAATCTGAGCTGTATCTGCTTCACAGCCAGAGAACATCATGTACCAGTTGCCTACGGAACATACAGACTGAAGAAACGCAACATGGGTCTTGCACATAACCACTCAGTCCCCGGGCCCTGATTCAGACCCAAAGTGCACTCCACCGAGGGATGTGAGACCAATGTGACCACCATGAGCATCTTACTGTGATTTACACCCTCAGAGTCAACCAAATCTCACTGTTATCTTCATGCCATGGGAGAAATTTTAAGCTTGCATTCTTATCTGTGGTTGAGAAGCAGAGGACTTTGCACCCAGCTCTTGCTTACCTCCAGTGACCTAACCCTTTGCTCCACTGACTTTGATGAACATAAGCTGAGCCCATGGCTACGTGCCTCAATGAATACATGCACATCTGCAACCAAAAGAGAAAGGCTCTAAAAGAAGAGCAGTGATTTGAGATTGGCTGGAGGAGGGAAATCCTTTGTTGGCATCCTAGAGAAGTAGACTTTGAAACACTGCATATGGATTGAATATCCATATGCACTGAACAAACGTATCTGTGTGAGACACAAGGTCTCATGAGAAAAGATAACTGAAATATCCCTGGATTTCATGCAATTTTGGAATAACATAAGCGGCCTTATTTCTGAGTCATGTCATTGTTTGGTGAGGGCAAGATCTGGACCACTTTGCAACCTGAGTGGACACTTGGTATTGGTGTGTTCCGGTTTCTCTGTGGATAAAATAGGAATTGTTCTTAGTCAGCGTTCAGCTCTGCCTAAGCACTTTATGAAGTCTCTTATATGTGTTATTTATGTAGTAAATAAATGTTGGACATCTATAGGGCTTACTGATAGTCTCTATTTAACTGCTGTAATGCAGATGGTAAAATGGGCAGCTCATTGCCATCTGAGATGAGACAGGAGGATCTATTCACAGATCTGCACATTCCCACCTCCTTTTTTTTTTTTTTTATGAAAGATGGGACATCACTGATTTTAATAGAGACACATCCAAGTGTCATTTTGTTGCAGCTTGATTTGTATTCACCTCTATTGTGACTCCACTTTCATGCTATTGCAGTCTCACAAGCCTGCTGTCAGCTGTAGCTTTTGAGGCAGAAGACATGATGGTTTTTTATTTGCCAGCCTTTCAAAATGCTGCAAGTTAGGGTAAGTGTTGTGCCTCGGTGGCATCTCTAGTTAGGTCCCCAAAACGCCTTAGCTGTGCTTGGGCACATCCCTTTTCAGCATAGGCTCTGCTGCTGGATACTACCAAATTCCTTGCTAGTTTCTTGGCCTCTCCATCATCTCAAATTTACTCTGTGCCATCAAGAAGGCTAAAACATGATGTGTTTACTCCCAGAATAAAATTTATCTCTTCTCTTGAATATGCGAGTCCTTGCAGAGCCAAAGACAATGCTGAGCTGCAATAGACTGAGACCAAGAGCTCTGTGTCTCTAGGTGGCACAACTTGGGTCTCTGGCTTCCTGCAAGGAGAAACAGAGTCACCCATCTGCTGATGTCAAAGGGAATGACTCACATGACAAAACCCAGTGACTCTGCAGTGCCCCCCTGACTTGGACACTCTCGGAGAGAAAATAACCCATTCACTAAGAATCTAAATTTACTCAGCAGCTGCATCTCTTGGAGATGCCATAAGGAGCTAATCTTAGACACCATCTGAGCGAATAATTTGTTATAGAACCAGTGCAAAGGAGAGCTCAGGCTTTCCCCTATTTTGCATAAAGTTAACTCTTTGCCACCATGTCCAGTTATTGTTGCTGGGAGGTCAATGACCAAAGTTGTGCTATCACAGCAGTATCTCTCACTGCTCAGCCCCGAGCAAGAGACACTCGGCCTTAGTGTATGCCTCTGTGAACCAGGAGTTATCAAATGCTCATCTCTCTCCTGTAATATATCTCATCTGATCTGGTTATTGCCTGGTTTTGATAATAAAAATCACTAAGCAAAGCAAATTTTTATTACAGCTACAAACTCAAATTAACTGCCCTGCACTGGACAACTTCCCATCCAGCCCAACATGTCAGTAATTCTTGCACTCAACTTCTTTCTTCATCGAGTTTTTGTTCCGGTAGAAAAACGTCTAGGGAGGAAGATCCTGCTACATTACCCGCCTTTAGTGATGCTTTCCATACATCCTTACTCACTGCCATGATCTTAGTCTTTGTTTCCAGCCATTAGAAATCATTAGCTGTAGTTCTATTAGATTTGGGACTAGTTAGGTAGAAGCAATCTCAGAAGAGTTTATCTCCATGAGGATCTCTGTTGTCTATTAAAGAACAGTCCACACTGTCAGGGGTGTACCCCTAGGATGCTGAGTTAATTGACCCACTAGCATTTGCACAGAGGTATCTGAATTGTAAGTATGCTCACTGATCAATCTTGTCATCCTCATGTGCCATCTCATCTTCTCATAGATGTTAAACTCTTCTAATCTTGGCCAGTACTTGCTTGGAGACAAACTTACATTCATGCTGCCACATTAGGCACATCAGTTAGAAGATGGATGGGAAAAGTCTACACTGATCAAAAGCTCCACAGGAGATAGCAGTTGCTGGAGGCCTAGAATTGATTTCTTCAGATTCCACTGTTATCATCAGAAAGAAAAATGTCTCCCTCAGCAATCAGGTGTGTGCTATGCTCCCCAGTGCAGCAGAGCTCAGCCCAAGCCCTGAGAAATTCTATTGAGTTGCCTCTGCATAAATATTGATTGCAAATAGCAACCACCACCCTGTGTGAGCAAATAAAAAGCAGGAATGAAGTAAGAGTAAACATACAACTGAGAAAAGCTTGCAACACCAAGATCCAGTCTGGAAATGGGTAACCTAATATGTTAGAAGACAAAAAAAGTCCATACTGTGACTACTTGGTGGTTGAAATGATCTAAAGTTTGTGGCTCAGCTGCAGTTAAGCAATGCTGGCTTCTTCCTCCCAGCCCTCGGAGGGTTGACAAGAGGTGCACAACAGCTCTAAGAGCACCCTTGGGTCTCTCTACTAGCAGTGGGTGCCTGTGTGAGTCACTCCAGGGCACGGAGATGCTCAGAGGGTTTGGGGTCCATCAACTTGGCCCTCTGTCCAACCAGACTGTAGCAAAATCCTGCTTGGGGAAGGTCCATCCTTAACTGAGCTGAATATAGCTATGCTCAGGAGCCAGGAGGGTCTTTGTTTTACAGAGGTTTCTTGGGGTGGTCAGTCTGGGCTGTGTGTGCTGGCTCCATCCCTCGTGACAGCAGAACTTGGAATGACTGCAGCTGTATGGAGCTGATAGCAAAAAGCAGTGTTGGCAGGAAACGAGAGGCTGGGGAATACATGCGTGAATGTTACCACCAGCTGCAGCAAAGACAGTGCCCCAGTTCTGCTGTGATGAGGAGACACTGGGAATAGTTAAGGTTGTCTAGTCTGAATTCATTATTTAAGTGCTCACTTGATTGAATGGAGAGACACAGACATCACCTGAATCTTCTCATATAAAACAAGGATCTAATTCAGGTGTGGGGAAATCAGTTCCTACAGAAGTCCATCTCCTTCTGTTCTTAGGGAAGAAGTCCATTTCCTTTCTGCTCTAAATTGCTGCCTCCTCCTGAGACAACTAAGACTAGGTGGGTGATAACTTTCATTTCTCTGATGCATTTCAGATCACTGACGGCTAATTGCGATTTTTTTTTCAGCCAGGCTGTAGAATGGTTTCGCATCACAAAGAAAATTAAACCTGGAAGCTTAATTAATTGGCTCTGCCAATGGCTTCCCATATAGTGCTGGGTGAGTGAGCTTTGCTCAGAGAGCACTCGGAAATAGGGCTGCTACCTGCTGGGATGGGGAGTCTGAGTTGGATTTTCCTGCCGAAACAAGGCACAGTGGTGAAGGAAATAAAATCCAGTTGCTGGTGTCACAGATGATGGTGGACCTCATCTCAACGCTGTCTGTTCTGTGGGGATTTCCACCTCCAAGAAGCATGGAGAGCTCCAATGAGTTCTGTTGCTCAGGAGAAGTTTTTACCAAAGTGAAATCTGGAGGGAAGAAAAGAAAGTCTTTTACAGCCAACAACTCTCAGGCTGTTTTCCTGCAAATAGTAGCAATTTCTATAAACCCATTTGTCTCTGAAGTGATGGCTCTTATAGGTGCAGGTGGATCAGTGGTTCCTTCCATCCACTCATCATTTGGTTCCCTCCAAAGTCACTCATCAGTGACTTTGTATTTACTGCAGAAGCTGTGACCTTAAATAGGCCCCACTGCGTTTAGTCATGTCACCTTATAATGGGAAATGTGTGGAGAGAACTCTCTGGAAAAGCTGGATTTCTTCCCAAGCTTTGGAGCCAGCCCAGCAGCTGTGCCAAGTCCCTGAATTCAATGGAGACCCAAGAGCGGGTTTGGGGTTGGGGTGTCCCTGGGTAGGACATGAATTTAGAGAAGCTACAGACTCACCAATGGGTTGGGATCCCCTCTGGAGAGGGATCAGCTGCTTTGTGACAGCAGCATCTTGTGATGTGGGGATTGTAAAAGTAAATATTGGATGTCAGCACGCACTGATCAGCGCAGGGAAAAGGAGAGGAAGCCAGGACTGAAGGAATATTAAAGGCAGGGGAGAAAATTCCCACCCAAAAATAAGGCCACACCAGACTAATCTTGTAAAAGTGAAAAAACTAGTGCACAGGGAAGGGAGAAGGGAGGACAGAGGACATCCATCCCCAGGTATTTGGGAGAAGAGGGACGTGTTTGAAGCATGACCCAGCTCAAAGAGCAACACTTGTCCTCTGATTCCATCCAACACTTGAGAACCGCTTATGAGCTGAGCTCTGAAAACAGTTTGTGACTATGTCTCTGCTATATTGGTTCACTCCTAGGTGCTGCTGCAACCTCACCAACATAAAAATGCTTCCCACCAGCATAGCGCTCTCCCCCTTCCCATTTACATGAATAACCATCATGGTACAAAGTACTTCTTATAAAGACATCCATGCAAGGGCATGGGGTTATGTGGCTTTAAATACACCAAGAAGAGTGGCTAATATCCTTCGATAGACTTAATTAAATCGTTAATTAAATCTGTGCCATCTCTGAGTATCAGCCAGCCCAGAGGGCCCATAATAATGGAGATAAAATAAAGCAGACTCATGTAGAAGTTTTACAATAGGTATAAATAATCACAGTTACTCTGCTCACCTGTGTCTGTCAAAACTACCTTCCTTCCTCAAGAGCTCCATGGAAAGAGCTGTTTCCTATTCTCTGCCTCATACTTTGCATCCATTGCAAAAACCAGACTGTAGCTCTGTGGGCAATACTGATGGAAACCCCATCTCCAGCTGGAAATCTCCTGTGTGGTATATCTAAAGACTAACAGAGGATGAGCTGGTTGCTTTTGGTTGTTCTTGGGGTGTGGTGTTTTTTTTTTTTTTTTTTTTTTTTTTTTTTTTTTTTTTTTTTTTTTTTTTTTTTTTTTTTTTTTTTTTTTTTTTTCCCCTTAAGAAGAACTTACTACCTCTGGGGGTGATGCATTTGTAAGACTTAGAAGGAACTGGTGGACCTGAAACCGCACTTTGAGGCTCTGTGGGTCTTTCTTGGCATCCATAGGCCTCTGGACAGGATGTAGAATCTGTCAGAGACCTCTGCCCTTCTGGAGCATCAGCTGAAAGCCACGTGGGTCCTAATGTGGCTATGAACACCTACATTGATCAGGTCTATATCTCAGTTGACTTTAGCAGGAGACCTCCTACTCCTCAGGAGATACTTGTGCTTGGCCTAATGGCCTAATCTGTGAGTTGAATCCAATCTTTGGGTTCCCTTTGCTTCAGATTCACCAGAGACTTTCCATGTGTCACCAAGATGCAGAGAAGATGGGTATATTAAGGAGGAGGTGTCCAGAGGCTACACTACAAGGGACCATGTACATACTGCAGATAAAACACAGCCCTCCTGCTTCCAGACTCCTGTTCCCTACCTTTATTGGGTCTTTTTCAGGATCTTCCACCATAGGTCTCATCTCACATGTGTAAAAACTCTCTTTCCATTTCTCCTTTCCACATCCCTTCTCCCTGAAAAGTGATTTCAGAGGAGAATAAAGGACAAACCTATGCTGAAAACCAGCCCTGGGAGTGAGACTACTAGACTCAGGGATGCCATAAGCCCGCATAAGATGTACCCTTATAACATCTCTCCAGCTTTGACTTTGTGATCTATTTTCAGCACAGTAAATGATTCAGCTATTTTGGAGTATTAGGTTTAGTTGTTTAGAGAGAAGGCCCTACCTAGCCCTGCCATGTGTGATCCAGAAGGTAGATTGGGATCTTTGATTCATCTGGAAGGGAAGTTGTTTCCCAAAAGCAATGGCTGAGCTGTTTGGTCGAACACGTCTCCCCTCATGGGACGGCAGGGAAGCTCGTGTTCCCTCCGCGGTGACTCATACGCTGACAGACCGTTCCTGAAGCATCCAGGATAGAAGTACAGCTGTTCCCCCAGCCCCCTCCCTTCCCACTTGTCCAATGTGTCATATTAAAGGGAGATCGGCTTACACACGCTCCAGTATGGATTCCGTAAGCTTTGTAACGCTGTGGCTATATATAAAGCCCAGCGCTGGAAAGTGAAGTACACAGACAGCTGCGATAGTAGCAAGCACTTCACATTTGCAGGGCGCTCGCAATCTGAAAGCAAGGGAGACCTGTGTGCTCAGCTTTGAGTAAGTTTTATTTATGAGAGGCTCATATATTGATATTAATAAATATAGATAAATAGATACAGGAAAAAAAAAGGGTAAATAGATATAGGAAAAAAAGAACAATTAGAAGAACAATTGGGAGGGAAAGATAGAAGCAATTACTCAACGCCATGGCTCTGCCTTTTGATCAAGCGGAGGAACTGCGTCTCTACCAGCAAACCCTTCTCCAGGATGGACTCAAAGACATGTTGGACCACAGTAAGTTTCTGGACTGTGTCTTAAAAGTCAAGGGGAAGGAGTTTCCCTGCCATCGGCTGGTGCTGGCAGCTTGCAGCCCGTACTTCCGGGCCATGTTCCTCTCGGACATGGAGGAGAGCAAGAAGAGGGAGGTCAGTTTGGAAGATGTTGATCCGGATGTCATGGGCAAGATCCTCCATTATATCTACACCTCTGAGCTGGAGATCACAGAGCAGAACGTGCAGGACATCTTCTCCGTGGCCAACATGTTCCAGATCCCCTCCATCTTTACCGTCTGCGTGTCCTTTCTGCAGAAGCGGCTCTGCCTCAGCAACTGCTTGGCTATCTTCAGACTGGGCTTGATGCTGGACTGTGCCCGGCTCGCTGTAGCAGCTCGGGATTTCATCTGCGACCGCTTTGCACTGCTCTCCCGGGATGAGGAGCTCTACCAGCTCTCCCCAGATGAGCTCATTGCCATCATCTCCAGTGATTCCCTCAACATTGAGAAGGAGGAGACAGTCTTCGAAGTGGTGATGAAGTGGGCAGGGACCAAAGACCGTGAGAGCCGGCAGAAAGCCCTACCTGTTGTCTTTGAAAGCATCCGCTTCCGCCTCATGCCTGAAGACTACATCAAGGAGCACGTGGAGAAGCACGCCACGGTGAAGTCCAGCCCAGAGCTGCTCAAGAAACTGCAGATGGTGAAGGATGCCCAGCAAGGCAAATTCACTGTGGTGAAAAAGAAGAAAGTAAAGAAAAGCAGCGAAAAGCAAGCAAAAGACAATGTTGTCAATGGAGCAGTAGATGAGGAAGAAGAGACAGAGGAGGATGCCCTTCCAGGGATCTTAAATGATACAATGCGCTTTGGGATGTTCCTCCAGGACCTCATTTTCATGGTGAGCGACAGTGGAGCAGTGGCCTATGATCCCACCGCCAACGAGTGTTATTTTGCCTCCATGTCTGCTCAGATCCCAAAGAACCACATCAGTCTGGTGACCAAAGAAAACCAGATCTTCATTGTGGGAGGACTGTACTACAATGAGGATAACAAAGAGGACCCCATGAGTTCCTACTTCCTACAGGTACTACCTTTATTTTTCCCTTGTTACTTTGATCAATTAGGAGCATCACTGGTTCTTAGCTACCATGTGATTCTGTGTAATATCCATAGTCACGTGATGGTTAAACAAAAATTATAAATGAGGTGATTTTTCTCCCTGTGTTTTAGTCTACGCTAAAAATAAGTTTATATTGAGTTTTCTTTCTGGCCATTGAGGAATGAGGCTGGAACAGGTAGGTATAAGCCTTTATGATCCAAATCCTGAGAATGGCCCATTTTGATTAATACATTTAATGCATTTGGTTCAGCTGTGGCTACCACAGATCAGAGTAACAGGAGGTTGGCAGCACCCTGTTTTGATTTGGCTTTGTGACCACTGCATTCTCAGGGTATGAATCTGCAGTAGAACGTAGGGGTAACTTTACCAGGTACTAGCAGAGAAGAGTGGCAGCTACAGCCACATAGCAAACTCTCCAGGGACGTGAGGACATGTTCTCACCTACCAAGGCGTGTCTCTTTTCCAATGCTATTCTTAATCCAGGGTGAAGGAAGCACAATTGAGCTATTCTCAGCTCAGAGTCTCTCTCTGCCTTAGCCATTTCCCATCTTGTTCAGGGGATAACCATGGTGGATGTCTTGGGATTCTCCCAAGGACGAAGCGCCTGCCCTAACTCAGCAATAACCAAAGCTGTGATTAGATCAGCAAGACCTGAAGTAGCCTGGGCTGCAGTCCAAGATCATTTTCCCAGTAGATAGCTCGCACAAGGCACCTACCCTTCCTGTCAACCCTGTTAGAATCCAGCAAATCATCAGCCCCCAGAAATCCTGTTGCATTTCTCCAGTGGCTCACATCTGCTCTGAGAGGAAACAACAACGCCTCCAACCCAATGCCTTATTGCATGGGTAGGTCTTTACACCTGCACCATGTGTGGGGGGACTGTGGTTGTCCTTGCCTGGAAAGGGATCGTACCCACTGCCAGGAGTCAGGCTATGGAGCCCATGTGAAACCCACGCAGCGAGGAGCCGGTGGGAAGCAAATGCAGCCCTAGAAAGTGGGATGGAACTGGAAGAGAGTGGGAACACCAGGGAAAACGCTGTTTCACACAGAGCCCTTTGCACTGAGCAGGAGCTCCGGCTGCAGAGGATGTGACCAGATTCAGTGCTCAGCTGGGCAGGGTAGATAAACAGGCTGCTTCATTTTCAGGGAACACATATGTCTAAAGATCAATACTCTCACCAGCTTGGGTGCCGGCCAAGCAGGTAATGCATATGTACTCGCCTCTTTTCCTTCCTCTGGAGACTTTTCTGTGAAATTAGCAGCTACACCAATTAGTGATCTTTTACCATGCCACATAGGGAAGGGAGAACGCTGCTACCAGCTGGCCCGACCCACTCCACATGGGAATCGTGGCCTCATCTCACCTCCAGGGCCTCTCTGCCTTAAGCACAGACTTACAGCACAACAGCTGCCCAGCCTTATGGCTACTTAGCTGTATTAGCAGCAGTGAGGCTGCATCTGGATTCTGCGTGCACCCTTGAGCTCCCAGGGAAAGAGAGACACTGAGGTACTGGAGCGAGCCCAACAAGGGCTGCCGAGATAGTCAGGGATGGAGAATGGGATGGACAGGGGGAGGCTGAGAGCTGGGTCTGTTCAGTCTACAGAATAAAATGGGAGGGAAGATCTCCTTGGTGTCTGTTTCTACCTATTGGTAGGGTGCAGAGAAGATGGGCTCAGACTTCCTTGGATATCCACACAGAAGGGCAAGAGGCAATACCTAGGAACTGCAGTAAGAGAAATTTCATTTAGCGGCAATGAAAATGTTCACAATCGAGTTGATGGAATGAGGTGCAGAGAGGTTGCAAAACCTTGGAGATAATCAATATGTGACTGGACAAAGCCCTGAGCAAACTTCTCTACCTTTAAAGTTGCTGCTTTGAGCAGGAGAGTAGACCAGGGACTCCCCATCAATTTAATCATTATGTACTTTTAAATTGCAAACATAAAAATCTCTATATTCGGCCCCCAATTTCCCATGGATTCAATGTGAAGCTTTGGGAATCCAACAGCCATTTTTAGCTCCTTCTCCATGAAAAAGAGTCAGTGATCCTTCTGCAGATTCTGCTGCACTCCTCTTTGGAGGGCTGGAAGGTGCTGTCAGATGGTAAAGGTGTGATTTATTTCTATCAGTTTCATCAGGGAGCTCACAGGTCCCCTATGAGTAAAGGTTTCTTTTGAGCCCTTTTTCAGCTGAAACTTTACATAGACATGGAAAAACAGTGGTATGATAAACACTTGGATCACAATGTCAGTGCAGCAACATTCAGAGCCACATTTCTCCTGCTGAAGCCAGGAGAGATAGGTCAGGGACAGCTTAGACTTCAGGACAGGTACTAGCGCGTATAAATTCTGATAAATCCCCAGAGGCCTTGCAAATCTTGTCAGGAACAAAATGATTCCATTGACATTTCAGGTGGAATAGAGTATACTTCATTTGTCGCCTCTAAGATTTATGCCCTGAAAACAACACTAAATCCATCTAGAACTACTCCAGTGACTGATTTGCTCAGTCCTCTGCTATTAATAACATGTATGTGTGTTGGGGCCCGCTCCAAGGATGGCTGTACAGTGCCTATTAGCAGGCAGGATGCCTTGTTAGTAGATAACCAACTTCAAGGCCGACAGYGTACTTGTTCCATCAGCGGATCAAAAACAAAGGCAGCTGTCCGGCTGCTGYGTGACCATGAAGCTAATTGGACAGTAGCTGTGGC